CAAATATGCAAAAATTTTCAGAAAAGGGAAGGGGAAACACCTCCAAACTTATTTTATGAGGCCAATATAGCCATAATAATAAAAAAAAATCAAACACAACACAAGAGAATCAAAGAGTAATAAATAAACATGGGCCAAAAATCTTCAAGAGCATGTGGTATATATATATACACACACAATGGAATGTTAGCCACAAAAAAGAAAGAAATCCTGACATTTGCAACAACATGGATGGAACTAGAGAGTATTAGGTTAAACAAAGTAAGTCAGAGAAAGATAAATACTATACGATTTTTTTTTTTAAGATTGTATTTATTTATTTGACAGAGAGAGACACAGTGAGAGAGGGAACACAAGCAGGGGGAGTGGGAGAGGGAGAAACAGGCTTCCTGCTGAGCAGGGAGCCTGATGTGGGACTCGATCCCAGGACTCCGGGATCATGACCTGAGCCGAAGGCAGACGCTTAATGACTGAGCCACCCAGACGCCCAAATACTGTATGATTTCACTCATATGTGGAGTTTAAGAAAAACAAACAAACAAACTAAGGGGAAAAAAAGAGAGAGAGGCAAATCAAGAAACAGACTCTAGAGAACAAACTGATGGTGACCAGAAAGGAGATGGTGGGGTTGGGTGAAATAGGTGATGGGGATGAAGAAGTGCACTTGTGATGAGCAAAGGGTGTTGTATGAAGTATTGAATCACTATATTGTACACCTGAAACTAATCTTGCACTGTATGTTAACTGGAATTAAAATTAAAACTTAAAAAAAAAATCTTCACTAAAATTTTGATGGATTTCAGAACCACCAAAAGAAGGTTTAGCCTGGCAGTTTGTTCATTTAGTCTTATATACAAAGACTTGTACACCAATGCTCAAGGCAGCTTTACTTGTAATAGCCCCCAAACTGGAAGCCCGTATGTCCCTCAGTAGGTAAATGAATAAACAAACTGTGATATAGCAAATACAATGGAATAGTACTCAGCAATAAAAAGGAATGAATTACTGATTCAAGTAAAAATACAGATGAGTATCATAAAAAAAGAATAACTTTTATTCTATTCACTTTCAAAATGTAATGTAGACATATGTGCTAGACCATGTGTTATGTTCTGAAAAAGGTCAAATCAAAAAACATAAGAGTACATAATGTGTGATTCCATTATACATAATTCTAGAAAGTGTGTAGACTATAGTAACAGCAAGCAGATTGGTAATTAGAGATAAGGAGAGGGGGTGAGGAGAGATTACAAAGGGACATGGGGAAACTTCTGAGTGTGAAGGACTCATTCCGTTCTCTAATTGTGTGGTTTCACAGGTTATACATGTCAATACTTAACAAACTGTACACTTCCATGTGTATTCACTATACATCACTTATATCTCAATAAAACTGTTTTTAAAAGTCTCTGATTTGGGGCGCCTGGGTGGCTCAGTCGTTAAGCGTCTGCCTTCGGCTCAGGTCATGATCCCAGGTCCTGGGCTCAAGCCCCACATCAGGCTCTTCCTCTCCTGCTCCCCGTTCGTGCTCGCTCTTTCTCCCTCTCTTTCTCTGTCAAATAAATAAATATAAAAAAAATCTTAAAAAAAATAAAGTCTCCTGATTTAAGGACCTCCAAATTAAATTTTACTCAGTTTGTTGGTTTGTTTTTTGGGCCTAGCACTAGTCATATACACTGATGATCATGGCCAGCCTCAAGAGTTACAGTCAGAAACAGAGAAAGAAAGAAACACCAACCAAAACAGTAAAAACAGCATCAAGAAAGACAGAATATTTGGAAGTATCCCAAAAGGAAAAGAACTTGTGAAGCATCTAAAAACTGAAAATATTTACCTCATACAACACAGGATATAGGCTATAAGACTACAATTTATTGCATCTTGTTCATACTGCTAAAAACAACTATCCCCCATGGTAGATGTCTGATTATAAGAGTTCTATTAAAACTAAAAACACTGTTACATCGAGGATGGAGAAAAGCTGTTCCTTTATTTCAAACAGAATTTTTAAAATGGGTATAACTGATGTAGTAGGAGACATTACAATTAGAAAATTGAGTAACTTATGAAACAGGATGGTTAAACACTAAGTTTTCGAATCATTTGTGGTAGGAACTTTCACACTAAATAGGTCCACATTTGCTTCAGGGAGCCAAAGGGTAAAGTGTTTCAGGCCACGTTTGTGCTGGTTAATCATCCCTCCGGGCAACTGTGGAAAGGTATAGACTTAATTTGTAAAATAGGATGAAAAGAAACTGACCTGATGTCACTATCCCTTCCTCCACATTTACCATGATTGTTTGATCTGTTCTTGTGTACTTCATAAATGTATGTCCTGGGTACCATCAAATTTAAAACCAAAAGTGAAGCAAGAGAGTATTTTATTTCATTTTACTGATGAAAGGAAGGCCTACAGATATGAACAGCCACTTAACGACACCCATCCTGGGTTAGGTGAGGACTAGGAGGGATTAGGGCTAAAATTAAAGTCTGATGTAGCCCTAAACCTGTAGCATTTCTAACCTTTAAGAAATTACAGCCTTTAAAAAGTAAGCTGGGATATAGAAGGAACATAATCATTAAAAAATGTTATTCTCTTGGATGTCTAAGGTAACCAGCATTACTCAGCGACATTAGATAAATTGCTCCAGGATTGTTACTGCCACTTGTTTCATATAAACCTGTATCAATTATGAGGTTTTAAAAAACTATAAAACATTACCTTGGAATTTTTAAAAGCACAGTCACCCTTGATCCAAACAAACTCTCTATATTAAAAACTGAGAGTCCTTCCTATTCTAATAATGTAGACCATCTCTCTTTGTAGGCTCAATGTAGGTCACGTTCCTCGAACAACAAATTTAACTTGCAACTAAAACTAAAGCATTAAATTTGCAATTTAAATCAAAACAAACTGTTCAAAGTGAGAAAAATATTCCCCATACCAAAATTCAATGACTATATATCTAAACAGAGTACTTTACCCCTCATCACCCCTGACACAACATGAACAACTGTCCTAAAAGCAAAGAGATTTCATCTTAAAGCTGCTAGTATATCATGATGGCAGTGTCTCAGGAATTAAATTATTCTGTTAGCCTGTTGGTCCTGCTGTATAGTGTGACATGACATTGGGGAGGAAAAGCCTCTGGGCTGACTGCAAGCACGTTCACTGAAGGACTCACCGCCTGGCTTTCAGTTATTTGCAGCCAAGGCAAAGAGCTAAGATCAAGAATCCTTACAGCCTTCTGCCCGAATTTTCTGCTCTTACACTTATTCAAACTCCCAATTCCAGGAGTTGTGTTAGCCTAGAGGTCCCTAAAAGAACAGAACAGAGCTTACTCTTCATCATTTCTTGTTTTGAATTTTAAATTGTCTGGGATGAATAATTTAGGTGATCTTTCCTTTTCTATATTGTTTTAATGTATTTCATCATTTTCATTTTAAGCCACCCTGTTCCATCCCTTACCCATTTAAAATATTTTTTTAATCCTACCTTTGTTGTGACTTTACTTCTTTAATTCCTGAGTCCTGAATTCTACCTTGGCTATTCCTGACGATTTTTAAAATTTATCTTACTCTGTCTTATTTTGTTTTCTTTTTAAAAAACTATTTGTCTTTTTTATTTTAGACTTCTTACCTTTTTCTTATTTCCTGTAGCAAATTCTTTCTTAATTATTTTTCTCAATATTATCTTCAATACATTTTCCTTCCTCACAATTTTAATATTTAAACTTTATATTCTTTGGGGCACTTGGGTGGCTCGGTCAGTTAAGCGTCTGCCTTTGGCTCAGGTCATGATCCCAGGACCTCAAGCCCCACGTTGGGCTCCCTGCTCAGTGGGAAGCCTGCTGCCCCCCTCCCCCGCTCGTGTGGTCTATCTCTCTCTCTCTCTCTCTGTCAAATAAATAAATAAAATCTCTAAAAAAAATAAACTTTATATTCTTCTTGATCATATAACTTATCTGTCTGTTTTCCCATTTTTTATTCTTATCACAAAGAGAAAAGAGTTCAGCTGCCCTGGGTTATAACGTCAGGCGGGAGCCCAGCCCCGGACAGTGGCTCCGCAGAGACCGCAGCAAACTGTTTTTCCAGGCAGGACGTCTGGCACCCTCCTTTCATATTCTCCCAACTCTGTAAGTTAGGTTTTCTAAAATTTTCTATGGACACAAGTACAGTAAAAGTTATAGGCACAATTCTTTTAAGCTATTAAAATACCTAAATCCATTCTGATTCAAAGGGGGTAGTTTTCCTGAAAAAAAAAAGGGGGGGGTATGTTGAAATCATATCATCAACATACCCCTCTCAGAGTCTTAAAATATACTAGTCATTCTTCTCCAAGTCTTATAAATAAAATTTAAAGTTCTGAGAATAATTGAACTATGCATAAAAATGATGATGATAATAAGTTATTGATAACTAAGCTAATAAACAACACAGGGAAATGTACACCATTTAATTGTTAAATAATTTTATTTTCTAAATTTGTTTTCAAAAAGCATGTGTTAAAAAAAAAAAGCCAGTTTAATTCAGGCTGGAACATTAACAGAGATATATCAATAAATAAGAATTCAGTGGTACTTTATTTCAAGTTGGCTTTTATATCTAATATATAACTCTATTTTTATGTAACTAATCCCTGAATTACTGAAGGAAAGCAGGGAGGGGCAACAGAATAGGTGAGCACAGAAACAGAACAGACGGACAAGAAAATATCCCTGCTTCCAGTTCTAAAAAAAGGAAGAAAATCACAAAATAAAGAGGAAACAAAAGCTGTAATCTTCTGGGGGAAACAATTTGGCAATTTATGGTCCTAAAGACATGAACAGAAGTGTTTAATTCTAATTGACCTACTGATGAAAATTTGGTTTATATCCCATTTTTTGTGGTTATATTTACATTTGACCATAGATTCTACTAGAGAAATATCTAGCAAGTACAGCATAGATACACAACTGAAACATAAAATACACATATAACAGAATAACAATAACATATACCTTAAGTGGTTCTGCTAGGTCTGAGAGCTGATTAATTTTCTGTTTAATTGAATCATACTTGTTTTCTGCTTCTATTTTCAGACTTTTAAGATGTTCCATATTTTCTTTTTGTTGTTCCATATTTTTCTCAACCATTTTCATTTTGATTTTATTTTCTTGGGCTTCGTCTTCCTGGTTACATTTACAGAGCATATGGAGTTAATTAAAATACTTAAGTTATGAAATAGAAAAACAGTGTGAAATTATGAGAGAGGAGACACTACAGATTCCAGGCAATCTGATGAAAGACAAATACAAAGAACACTAGCATATTTTCATACTCTTAGTGGTAAATCAGGAAGTAGAAGAAAATGATTAAACAAAAAGACTGACATTTGGGAGATACGTTAAGACTGTACTGTGCTTGAGGTCATAATCAAATGGAAGAACTTTTATTTTACCTAGTTACTCTTTTCTTTCAAAATGCAGTGTACTTAACTAGCGCCAGCCAATGTTAGATGCTGAGTAAACAAAAATGACCAAGACATAATCCATACCTTTAAGAAATCTATGGAATTAAGGCAGAAAAATAAACAATGAAGAACAAGATTACTAATAAAAAATGAAGACAAATTCTCATTCACATAAAGCTCCAATAGACTTCATCTATCTTGCTCACTGTGATATCCCCAGCACTTAATATGGTGCCTGGTGCAGAGTGGATACTTAATACTTAGTCATTTTAACCAGACCCCAATCTAATGCAGTGCTTACTGTAACTCAGAGAAGTTAAGCTGAATGTAATAAACAGGTCCTTGAAAAAAAAAACAAACAGTTCCTTGAAAAAAAAAAATAACAATGTGTGATAAATTAAAATGCAAACCAGTTTCTTGGGGAAAAAAAACCCCAACAATGCAGAGACCAGCTACAACTGACTAAAAGATATCCATTAATATTTATACTGATTAACTGTGAAATATACTATGCTAGGCAGTTTGGTTTGAAAGGCCACTTGTTAGAAGCACACTGTTTAAGCTTTTTTTATTACATGGAGTAGAAGACAAAATCAATTATTATGCATGCACGTAACATATACAAAACATTAAGGAACCCGAATGCCATAAGCCAGGTAGGTAGTTTCTACCTTATTTGCAAATGAAGACAGCAACCATAAAAAGTAGCTCCAATTAAAAGGATTTAAAAAAGGCTGAGAGTAGATGCTATTAACCTAAATGACTGTTTTGTCCCTTAACATTACATTTAAACTGAGGAAAAGAATCTTACCAACGTTGCAATATCTACAGACTGGTGTTCTTCTATATTCTCAAGTTCCCGAATTTCAGAAGTACTTTCTGTTATTTTTACCTGAAAGAAAAGTATTTCAATTTTAGTAACATAAAATAAATTAAGGGGGTGCCTGGCTGGCTCAGTCAGTAGAGCATGTGACTCTTGATCTCAGGGTTGTGAGTTCGAGCCCCACATTGGGTGTAGAGATTAGTTAAAAAAAGAAAATCTTTAAAAAATAAATAAATAAAATTAAAAACCTAACAAAACCCCAGAAAGGATATATTAATCCACAAAGTCCTTACTCTGCTTTTGTTACAGAGGGTTCTGTAGCTAATGAAAAGGACCACATTAGTATTAAATGAACAAAAGGAAGTTGTGTATGAAGTCTGCCGTGATCACCCTTATTTCTAATCCACTCCCAGGGAAAAAAAGATGGAAGAACTCCATCTTAGCATTTAAAATGATGACAATGTTGAATCCATCGAGAAAATCCTTTTCTGAAACACTCAGATTGAGGTTATGGCAAGATTACCCCAATGCAGTGCTTCACAAAGTACGACCCAAGCAGCACCTGCCCCCCCAGGTGCTTCTGAGACTCTTTCAAGGGGTCATGAGGTCCAAACTATTTTCATAAAAACACTAAGACATTATGCAACCTTTTCACTATTTATAAAAATATAAAAATGTCAATTTTCTCACAAAATATTTTTGGTTTTGGAAAAATATAGCTATTTTCCATAAAAATGTTATTTTTGTTAACACATGAGTTTTTGTTAAGTGAACCAATAAATATTCTTAAAGTTTGTTTCAATCTTTTAAAAGATTTATTTATTTGAGAGAGAGAAAGAGCGAGAGAGCGCATGTGAGCATGAGTGGGGTGAAGGGCAGAGGGAGAAGCAGACTCCCCACTGAGTTGGGAAACCTCAATGCGGGGCTCGATCCCAGGACCCTGAGATCATGACTGATGAGCCAAAGGCAGCCACTTAACCAACTGAGCCACTCAGGCGCCCCTTAATTCTTAGTAATTAGGTAAAAGCCACATAAATGAAAGCTTTTTTTTTTTTTTAAGATTTTATTTATCTTTTTGACACAGAGAGAGAGACAGCTAGAGAGGGAACACAAGCAGCGGGAGTGGGAGAAGGAGAGGGAGAAGCAGGCTCCCGGCTGAGCAGGAGCCCGATGCGGGGCTGGATCCCAGGACCCCAGGACCATGACCTGAGCCGAAGGCAGATGCTTAACAACTGAGCCACCCAGGCGCCCCGAAATGAAAGCTCTTTTAAGACTACAGAGGGTCTGGAAGCCAAAATACTTGAGAACTGCTCCTCTAAAACTACATGAATGGTAGGATCTTAAAAATAACTTGGAAGTAGGTAAGTTGAGAAAAACAAAGGGACTTTTTTTTTTTTTTTTTTTACCTTTAACTCTCTATAATGTATTTGGCGCCTTCTAAGAAACTCTTCATTACGCTTAATATCTTTTTCAAGGGCAGACAAATGTTGCTGAAGATTTAATATCTGGGCCTTCTTATTTTCAACTTCATTCTCCAAGTCACTGGACAGAGAGGACAGGATAAAAAAACACCTTAAATCTATTTCTGAAAATTATAATATTTTAGGTCTTTACAGAGAAGAGCTTATTTAATTGTGATAGTTTATTTGCAAAACTCTATTCAGTTAGACCAGTTCTATATTCCTACCAAGTTATCAATAACATGAAAATATGGAGATTTCAGAAGACATCAAAACTGGAGTCATATTTTATGCATTTCATTAAGAAATATTTACGATTTCTTTTTTTTTTTTTTGAAGATTTTATTTATTTATTTGACAGAGACACATCGAGAGAGGGAACACAAGCAGGGGAGTGGGAGAGGGAGAAGCAGGCTTCCCACAGAGCAGGGAGCCTGATGCGGGGCTCGATCCCAGGACCCTGAGAACATGACCCGAGCCAAAGGCAGATGCCCAATGACTGAGCCACCCAGGCGCCCCAATATTTATGATTTCTGTGTGGCAGGCATCATGCACAGCGATAGGCAGAGGTAGAAACAGAATTAAGACAGGGTGGCTCAGTCGTTAAGCGTCTGCCTTTGTCTCAGGTCATGATCCCAGGGTCCTGGGATCGAGCCGGCATCTGGCTCCCTGCTCAGCGGGAAGCCTGCTCCTCCCTCTCCCACTCCCCCTGCTTGTGTTCCCTCTCTCGCTGTCTCTCTCTCTGTCAAATAAATAAAATCTTTAAAAAAAAAATAGTATAGTTTCTACAAAGCCTCACCAGCATTAAATAATACCTTAAAAAAAAAAAAAAGGCATGAAAGAATCAAACAAACAGGAAAAAAACCCAGGAAATAAGCCGTAACGTTAAAATGTGAACAGGATACTTTATACCCTACAGAACTACGGGAACATAACAAGTGAGCGTGGGGCAAGTGACAACTGAACTGTAGTCTCTAAAGGTTCCCTCAGCTGGATCAACTACAGGACATGGAAAGACAGACACCGAAGCACAGAGAAGTTAAACAGAGAAACCCGACAGCACAACATGTGCTGTCGCTGGGTAACTGCAGGAGTGGAAGGGATGGAGTGGGGGACAATGAAAAGGGATGGAAGAAAAAGCCAGCAGATGCCAAAGCCATAAAGGGTCTCTGTGACAGGAGTCACTGTCTTCAGAAGTCACCTCTTCCTGCCTCACTGATCCAAGCACCTGTCTCCCAAAGTCATGTGCCTGGTGGGAGAGAACCACCTTTGCAGTTAAAAACTTTTCTCTGTGCCATATTTCAGTAAGATGCATATTTTTCCACATTTTAACTGAAATCATGTTCCAGTTCATGGTTCAATTAGCAGCATTTTTTCTTTTTTAATAACAGAGCAGCTTAAATTTGATGAAATACTGTAACTGTGCTACCTTGCCAGAATCCTCAAAATTAGAAAAAGACTCAAAAAATGTCAGCTGAATGAATGATAAACATGAGGAAAGGAGGAAAATAGTTGTGGTATTTCTGGTAAAAATGGGGACAAATATAAGAACTTAAGATGGCTCCTCAAGATTTAGTAAGAAATATTTGAACGACTATATGTAAATCTACACCTTTATTAACAAATGAATGTAATTGCACTAAAAACAATAAAATATTTACCAAGTAAACAAACTTTGAAACCCAGAGCCTAAACCAAAAATAAAAACCAGAAGTAAGCACAGACAATATTGTTATACTATTTCCTGAATACTTAGAATAAACATAAGCAATCAACATAATCTATATAAACAAAACTACTAAATTGTACAACTTCCTAAAAAAAAAAAAGGACGAATTCTGTTATACACTTTCTTTTTTTTTAAATTTTATTTATTTATTTGAGAGAGAGAGATAGCGGCAGAGAGCACAAGCCTGCTTCTCCCTCTGCTCCCTGCTGAGCAGGGAGCCCGACGTGGGGCTCGATCCCAGGACCCTGAGACCTGAGCCAAAGGCAGATGCTTAACTGACTGAGGCACCCAGGCGCCCCTGTTACACACTTTCATATAGTGTTCCTCCTTAGTTTTTAATTAATTTTTACATGGAGCAAGAACCTTTGCTACCTAATGAAACAGGTACAACTGAGCTAAGCATGTGTGCGTTGTTTGCGTGGGATGAACACAGGCTCCTGAGCCGCCTGTCCAAGTAGTACTCTCCCCAGTCTCCAGCCCTTACTGTGCTATGTTTGTCTCCACAGCACTTGACCTAGTTAGTATTCATCTATAGTCTATGTCCACCTTCTTAATACAAGCTCTGGGATGAGGAATATTTTGCACTTTATTTTGTGCTGTGTCTTGTGCCCAGATCAGGGCCTGGCACATTAAGTACTCATTCATTATCTGTTTTAAAGAACAAATGAAAGAATAAATTTGAAAAACACACTTTGGAAAATTACATGAAATATGTTACAGTATTTTGGCAATTCAAAAATCCACAGGTAAACTTTTTTTTTCTGATCTTGTATGTAGGCAGTAACTGCACTGGAATTATTCCAAGAGCTACCTTAGACATTTTTCTTGCACCTTATGTGTACTTTCATCATGGGAAACCACACTGGGATAATCAAACCAAGTCAGTACCTGTAGTGAGAACTTAAAACCCTTTGCCTATTAAGAAGTCACTCTGTTCATTATGAAATTTTTTGTGAATTTTGTGAAATATAATCTTTTCACTTAAATTCCAGGGCCGTTTTTCATCAAGAGAGATCTGTCAGTGCTGAGTTGAAGAGGGTGTAGAGAAGCACCCTTCATATATTTGCAGTATGAGGGGAAATCGAGGGATCTTTCTGGAGTCATTCAGAAATCACTGTTAAATGGCCAACTTATTCAAAAATAAAATAAAAATGTTAAATTATCTATTTTAATAAATATTAAAGCTCATTTAATATTACGCATATTAAAAATATTAGTAACTGCTTAATATTATTAAATATTTAAAATTGAACGATAAATTATATATTAATATATCAATTATAGTCATTTGGCAACAGCTATTAAATAACTTAAAAATTCATATATCCTTTTACTTAGCATTTCTACTATTAAGAATTTAAGCTATGCACACACTTCCAAAACTCTGCCGAGATCCACATATGTGTGTTCGCTCTGCAGCACTGTTATGAGAGGAAATGGTAAACAACTGCTAGGTCCGTCAACAGGGCACTGGTTAAGCAGGGTATTGATACAGCCATACTGAGAGGTAGTTCTAAATGTGCTGACATGGTAGGACTGCCAAGATATAACACTGACAGAAAAAAAACAAGACAGAGAAAGCATATGCATACTTATACATAGCACAGTACGGATGAACTTTACACGTAAGTGGAAGAAGCCAGGCACAAAAGGTTGCATATCATTTGTTTCCATTTATATGAAACATCCAGAATAGACTAATCCATAAAGACAAATCCATAAAAGGATTAGTGGTTGCCAGGAGTTGGGGAATGCGGAAGTAACGGCTAATGGGTATGGGTTTTTCTTCTGGTGTGATAAAAAATGTTCAGGAATTAGCTAACCGTGATGGTTGCACAACCCTGTGAATATAATAAAAATCTCTAAATTGTATGCTTTAAAATAGAGTGAATTTTACAGTACGTGAATTATATCTCAATTTAAAAAGTCACCGTATGGTACAAGGATATAAACTGGGAACATGTGTAAGAAACTGCTCAACTATTTACTTTTGAAAGAGGGATGAGGGTGTGCCTGGGTGGCTCAGGTCATGGTCCCAGGGTCCTGGGATGGAGCCCCGCCTAGGGCTCCCTGCTCAGCGGGAAGCCGGCTTCTCCCTCTCCTCCCCGCCTGTGCCCTCTCTCACTAACTCTCTTTCTCTCAAATAAATAAATGAAATCTTTAACGACAACAAAAAAGCAATGAGAACAGTTCATTCTGTATACTTTTCTACACTGTTTGAACTTTCTCACCATATGCACATATTCCTTTTAATTATTTTTTTAAATGTCAACAAGGACTATGGAGAAACAGGATTATGAGCTTTTGTTTCCCAATTTATACTTTTTTATATTTAAAAAAACACTAGTGAATTTTTCTAAACTTCCAAATATCAGGCAACTATCACACTGGTTCAGGTCAAAACAGATGACACAAGTCATCTAAGTATCATTAAAACTTGGTATATTCTCTTTCTTTTCTTTCATTTTTTAAAATTTATTTTTAGTTTTTCCAGAAAATCCAGGAATTTTATTCCCTTCAGCGCCTTCATCTCCTTCCTACATTCTTTCAGACTTGGCTTTTTTAGCTATTAGCCTTTTTCTCTCTTTTTTTAACTGAGGTGTAGTTTACACACAATATTACATTAGTTTCAGCTGTACAACATAGTGATTCAAAATTTATATACATTATGAGGCAACCACCACAATAAATCTAGCAGCCACCGGTCACCAAAGTCATTAAAATATTAATAACAATTAATATTAATTATATTCCCTACACTGTACATTACATCTCTATGATTTACTTATTTTCCAACTGGAAGTCTGTACCTTTTAATCAAACCCTTCATCTCTTTCAGCCATCCCATCATCCCTCTCCCCTGTGGAGAGAGACTGTTCATCCACCAGATTGTTCTCCATATCTATGAGTCGGTTTCTGTTTTATTGTATTTATTCATTTGTTTTGTTTTTTAGGTTCCACATATAAATGAAATCATACAGTATTTGTCTTTCTCTTTCTGACTGACTTGAATTAACATAATACCCAGAACACTATATTTATAATTAATAAAGCTTATCAATGTGGGAAACAATTTTTTAAAAACCAGTGTTCATCTGGCTTTTAAAACAAAAGATGTGTCTCCTACACATTAATACAAATACTGTTAACTAAAAAATGAAGCTAGTATCAACTTGAAACTCTTATTACTAAAATGTTGGAATCAGAGATGCCAACTTGCTACTGGGCTATATTTATAATCTCTTCCAATAGTGCCGTACTTCCTTTTTTCAAGACTCAGGACACAAAATACATGAGGCAATTTTTGTTGAAAGGGAAGTGTAAGCAACATAGAGTAATACCACCATGATATTTTTATACATTTGTACTCATGTCTGCTTGAATACCATATAATTTAGTCTTACCCTGTTAAGAAGTAGGAAAGCTGGATTTAAACGTCATGGCACAATGGACAAAACCTTATCACTTTACAGGTCACTTTTACATAGCACATTCACACATTTATCCTCTAAGACTCAGTGTCAATGTAAAATGTGTGCTTCGTGCCATGACACCAAGTTGCTGGTCATTCAACTTTTTTCTGTTGCTAAACAAGTTTTACCAAACTTTCTGATAACCATTATGGCTACTGTTCTTTATGCTGCTCTCAAAGTCACATAAAAATGACTAATCTTATTTGAAAACAAGAGAGATATTTCAATAAAACTCTCATTTCTCTTACATACGTAAGTTATTTAGAATACTTTCACTTTTACTCAATTTTCGTAGATATTTATATTACTTAAGTTCTAAGTTCTTCTACTGAAAGTCTTGCAGGTCACTAATTTAGTTTCAACCCATAATTTGTCAACTGAATTCGTTTGGTTAGAAAATCATGTTTTTTGGTACTAAAATTCCTTTCTGCAATGCTTGTGAATCTCATTAAATACACTTACTAGTTTTTTGTTCAACTTCTCGTATTGTCTCCTCTGGCAGCTCTATTTTCCTAGATGTGTGCTCTAATTGTGCCGACTGATCTTTTTAGAACAGTGCAACTCAAGATACAGTCAGAGACGGAATATGGAACTTGAGCCAGAATGTAAACCAGCACACCTCTACTCTCACTGAGCGAAGTCAGAACTAAATGACGGGATAGTGATGTAGCTGATGTACACTCTGAGTTCAGAATGTGCAGATCAGCTGGTCAAGGGAACACACTTTGTGTTCTTAGCACAGAATACTATTGTCAAAGTGATGATGGGAAATAACCATCAACCTAGAATTCTACACCCAGCTAAATGATCTTTTAAGCCCTAAGAGACTACTCACAATCTTTCCTTGAAATAACGTACTAATAGAGTAATATGAAGGGAACCAAACCCTATAGGAAGCAGTAGGAATACCACAGTAACTCTACATTGACACTAACCTTATCTCAGAATCCACATCTTTGCTCAGGAATTTAGGTCTTGTATTTTCAGATGAATAGTAACGTCCTGCAAAGACTTGATCACCATCAGCAGTAAAAGCTTCTCTACAATTCTTGGGTGGCTTTTGGGACTGCATTACTGCACGAGCTACAGAATTATTCTAAAAAAATAGAGGGGGGAGAAATAAATTTTTGAAGTTATGCCATAGCATTTCTGATACACAATTTCAAAATGTTACCTATCATTATTTTAAGATTCAAGTATTTTTATTTAAACATTTAAACATAAGTAAAATAATTCCAAAAAATGAAAGAATTTCAAAAACAACTCTCATGATTCAAAGAATTAAAACTATTGACAGTCTTTAGAACAACATGGTAAGCAAGGTTTTATGACAAACTGATTTTAAGTTCTAATGCTGCTATCTATTAAAATTAAAATTTTAAGTACATTTCCACATGAAAATGTTTACTAAGATCAGAGTTCATACAAATCTTACTTTTTCTAAATGACTTTAACAGCCTGAAAAGAAAGATGTGAATGAACAGCAAATTGCAATAAAAGATGAGTATACTGAATTACATGGGGGAAAGCCTAGAAATAAGCCCTAGAAGTAAAATGGGCATCAGGCTTAATGGAGGCCTAGCCAACCTCTGGGGACAGACAAGAGGACTTCATTATTTCCCTTCAAGGATCCTTCTAAAATATGAGTGAGCAAAGCCCACAAATAATTACAATATGACCCTGTAACACATACACTGTATATATATTTAAATTACTGATACAATTACTTCTCAGTTTGTTATTGAGAAAAACAAACTGTTTTGATTAGATCTCTGTTTTGAATTTCCTAGTTCCTTCTCAGCAAATTTATGCCAGTGATGATCTAATCCAACAAGTACATAAAAATACATAAAGAGTAAATACTGATTATTTTACAGTACTTTTAAAGTTTTAAGATAAAGAACTCATAAAATATCAAGTAGAGTATTTGCTTAAAAATAGAATAATAATAATACACTTATCTATAAGGGTAAATAAAAAATGGATTTGGCAGCCAATCAAGAAAGAATGAGTAACAAAAAAATTATAGCATCATTCACCAAAATAATAGGTATTTGTGAAATATTTACTGAGGAATAGCCAAAAATATAAAGTTCCCTCAGGCAGAAAACACATACACCAACCAGCTCTGTATTATGCTGTAGTTTCCTATAAGGTAAAAGTACAGCAGTAAGACATATTAACAACTCCATAATATAGAAGGGGAAAAGGATTTATATAGCCAACTTCAGTTTTGGAAATTTAAGAGTATATAAAATTCAGCAAGCATCTTATCTTACTTTGATCAGAAGCACTGTCTCTATGCTTCTCATGTCAATCAGGCTGTTTGCAACCACTGCATTATCTATTTCTAAAGCTGTCAGGACTGTTGGAAACTCTGGATGATAAGCAGCTCTAGGAGACAAAAATATGTAAGTATTAAAAAATTACATATTAAAAATATGTTAAGTATTATCAAACTTTAATTTTATATACATATCTTTTTAATGTGTGACTATAGGTAAGACAGTGGAAAATATCTGATAACATTTGAAAACATCTATAATAGGTTTATTTTATCTAAATAGCAAACATATTATGTGCTAGGCATTCTAAGAATATTATAAATAATATCAGCTCATTGAATCCTCATAATAACCATGGGATTGATAATGTTATTCTCTAATTTAAAGGAGTTTCTTCTTAAGATGGGGGAGGCAAACCACTGGCCTAGGATTTAAAGCGGAGAGAAGTCAATGGAGTAGGAAAGTTTAAGGCCCAGGAGAGAGTTGAAATAATTAAAAGAAACAGTCCAACAAACCAGGCAAAAAAGCATGCAATTCAGAGCCTACATAGAATAAAGAGCTTTGGAGAGCAAGAGCATCTCTTGTGCTGAGCTGGATAGACATACAGATGCAGACAGAACTGAGCAGTTCGGCAGCCTGTACTTCAGAGCGAACAAAGCCGTTTTTATACGAAAGGAAACTATCCCCAGCATCTCCTGGGGAGCTATACACTCCCCCAGGCTCCTCTGATGAGGTTCTCTAATGTGAGCCTAATATACCTGATTCATTCTAATATTCCAAGGGTGTTTTACTGTTCTTTTCTACACTAAAATAACATGCCCAATTTTAAAATTTAGTGTTTGAACCACAATATATACTGATAAAGGTCTTCACCAAAAATCACCCCTCCAAAATGTCTGCAAAGGCAGGTGAAGTTGCGAGAATATTAAACATACCCAACCTGTCAATATTCTGTCAACACCTAAAAGTAACATCCAACTTCCTCTACTACACCACCAACTTGAACTTCAGCATAATTCCAACTACTCTGAAAGGCGAATGCCTGGAGCTGCTCCATTAACCTCCGACTTCCCACTGTCACCACGAGCTACAGCTGCAGAGTTCCCGGCTTACCACGCCTGTTCAACCTGCTCTCTCCCTGCAACCAGCACATTTACAGATTTGCTCCCACACCTCACTTTCTTCCCTCTCCAGCCTCATGGCCACTCAATGAACTCCTTTCTCAATTGCTTCCCTCTTCTTCTGTAATAACTACCCATTCTAACAAATCCTACTATAGTATCAGTCCAAGAGTACACATTCTCGCCTCAAACCTATTAAAAAGCCAAAAATCCTGCAGCCATGGGCGTTTGAATCCTGAGTGGATGTTGGTTCTGCTTCCTCACTCACTCTCCCCAAACCTACCCAACTCCGGAGGCCCTCATTCTCAGCACACAGATTCACCTATTTCCAAGAAGTGACCTCATGCTGCACAAATGGAGCTCACTCCGCACCCCTTCAAAGGATGATACACTGCTAGGAGACTGGAAATACAACCACTGGGAAACACGGTGTGCCGGCAGGGCGGTGCCAGGCACTGCTACTCATGGGAGTCCGTGCAGTGGGTCACGGAGCAGTCCCAACAGCTGTTCAGGACCCCTGTCCCTGGTCCCCAAAGGACAGTGCTGGTGCAGAAGGATACTCCTCACAGAAGCCAATCTCTCCCAGTAATCTCCCAGGGACAGTTTCCAAGGTCCCCGTAGGGAAATATCCAACTGCAAGTCACCATACTGGCATTCCACCAGCTGTTCAGAATTTTCTCACTCTAGATGCAACTAGCCTGCCAGGGGGCATCTTTACCATAAGCAATGTTGTCTGAGAGCACAGCTGAAATTTCACTTTTATCAGGTTTTAGAAATCAGGATCAGAGCCAGAAACTAATGTAGAGTCATATTTTCATGCAGCCTGGGAAAACAGTATACCCTTAACTCCCAAATCCTTATTTCTAGCCTAAAAGCTCAAAACTGACAATTCCACAACAGGATTTATCCACTTTTGACAAATCCACTTTTTCCTTACACTTCTCCTAAACCAGTTACGAGCACATCTGCTCGGTCCAGAGACCTAGCAGTCATCCTCAATTCTTTCATTCTCTTACATTCAAGTAACAAGTTTTATTTTGTCCTAAATAACGCTTTTATTTTTATTATTTTTTAAAGATGTATTTATTTGAGAGAAAGAGAATATGTGCACAAGCAGGGTGAGGGGCAGACAGAGGGGGAGAGAATCCTAAGCAGAGTCCCTGCTGAGCATGGAGCCCAATGCGGGGCTCTATCTCATGACCCTGAGACCATGACCTGAGCCAAAACCAAGAGTCAGACACAAAACCAGCTGAGCCACCCAGGCGTCCCCTAAATAGCGCTTTTAATCTATTTTTTGCAGAATAATTTATGATGCCATGCCACTATGCGTTTTGCACATAGAATTCTATTTGCTTATAAGGCAATTAAACTTTACCTGTCACTTGACAAATTCATCAGGTCAGAAGACTGATTATTTGTCCTCTTTTCTCTAATTTCTTCGCTAACCTGCCTACTAACATATAATTCCTCTCTCATTTGAACTACATCTGCATCTTGTGATCCAATTTTATCAAAGCTGACATTCAATTAGAAAATATGTATTATATTTGAAAATAAAGTGACTAGCCAGTCAGGCAGTTAGAAAGAGGCCAGTTTAAATACTGTGCCTTTGAGAAGGTTTGTTAGGGTCATCAAAGAAAACTACCACAGCTCTTTACGGAATCTGCAAAGCACCTTGAGAGTTGAACTGTGAGTACTGAGTGCCAAAGCTCTTCCTTAGTACCCCCACCCCCACATACCCCTTAATTTGCCGTGGTCTGTATCACTTCCCTCAGTATAATTTCTATGCTGCACCATGCCCCTTCCCCTGTCCTGGCTCCCACAACAGACCTTGTGTAAGGAGCTCAAGGGCAGGGAGCATGTCTTATTTATCTATGTGTCTCCAGTGCCTAGACTGAAGTTAAAGAAGTGGCTTGATGAAATTTCATCAATCAGTACTACAGATTTGGTTAATACAAAAATGTCTTAATTAATTCTTTCTGATCTTGTACATGATTAAGCAAAACCAGAAACAGCATTTAGCTACCGATGCCTCACCTGTGTCTTACATCATACATCTCATTCCGAAACTCAGAAACTATTATCTGTGGCCGTGAGGTCCCTCGTGAATAAAACCTTTCCATCAGTGCCTGAAGAACTCTTTCATCAGCATGGTTATGGCAACAATAGGCCTGCAGAAGTCCTTTCAAGCAAGATTCAATAGCCAAAGCAAGTTCAGGGTCACGAAGATGAATGCAAGCTCCTAAAGGTGAGAGAAAATTATTAAAAGGCCCATTAATATTTTGAAATATTAATGTAACTTTCTTCTTATAATAGTTTATAAATGACTTCAAAATATTTTCATATAAGGAAGCTTAAATGACATTACAGATCTTACGTTAACTAAATGGGAGATCCCTACATATCCACTGGATACACTGGGGAGAAAACCCATCAAATCCTGTGAAAAGAACTACCTCACTAACTCCCATGTAAATCAACAGAGGTTTTTTTATGGAAGTGTATACTCTTCCAGCCTCTGAATGGCATTCTGAAAAGCAAGCCAAAAGGTTTACAGATTCTTTATTATTTTCTGTCAAACTGATTAACACTGGGATTTTAGAAACAGAGAGAAAATGCCTCATCCGTTTAAATGGATCCTGGTATAGAGGTACATATCATTTATATGAGATTTTACCATAATACTTAACACCGTGTGTAATGCTGTGCTTACACGGTAATAGAGTACTTTAGCAACAAAACCTTTATATTGACAGCATCATTTTCACTTAATGATGTTATAGAATTAGAGATAACTCCTCAGGAGAATTCAACAGATTACAAGTATTTTTTAATCTCATGTATATATAGGGATAATTCAATAAACCCAGGTTTTCCACTTGAAAAAAAACTTAGAAACAATGTTGTCCAACCTACACAGCAAGTAAGAAGACAAGTCATTTTATAAAGGTTACACAAAACTCAGGTGGTGAAGGGTTCTTCTGACTATATCACTGTCATTGGATTTTCAAACTAATCAATTATATTCAAATTAGTTCATTCATTTATTCATTCATTCAGGAAAAAAAATCAGATCAGATTATTCAACTCTATAGTTTCTTTTCCTTTTCCTAAGTTTTCTTGCTTTTGGCTATTTTATGCTTTAAAAATGTAAAAGGGAAATTATAAAGTTTAAAGTGATTTATAATTATTTCTTAAAATATGTACAATTAAAATCCACATATAATTACATAGCTCTTTGATAACAGTTTTAAAACTGGATTCAATAAACCTTTTCCTGAAAATAAAACCTTATTTTTAATGCTTCTTATATCCTGACCAAATGGTGGCAAATACCTAAAGGGCCCACGGGTTTATAGGTAAAATGCCCACGTCTATAGGCATCATCTATTGCTTCAAGAAGGGCTGGAACGTGAGGGCCAAATCTTTTCAGTCGATCAGTTTTACTATCTTTTAATTCTTTCAGTTGCCTCTGATTATAGCTCAGTGTATGCTTGACATCTAATTCTTCTCTCCTAAAAAATAAAAGCAGAAAAACAGAAGAGATGTGTGATACAGTTATACAGAAATATCCAGTCTTTCCCCTCAACACCTGCATACCAGCGAATGACTCAGCTACTCTGAAGACCAAAGGCAGATTTCTTTATTTGAAAATGATTGTGTTACTAGAGAAAAACAGTCTCAAGTCCTCAAAACTTAGCACGAAAAAAGAAATGATGCCATAGGGATGAGGACTAGAAATCCCAGAGATGGTTCAGCTCTACAAGTGTTGGAACAGTCTGGGAAAAGTAATTTTTAAAGATATTTTATTAACACATCACACAACAACCACAACAAAACATGTTTTCTCTCTTCGTATAAAGAACAAACCACATGATTTTCAAGTCATTGAAAAAAGTCATTCTAAGGATGTTGAAACTTACTTAATTCTGATCCGTTCTTCCTTGTCCTTTTCTATGGCTTGCTGAAACTGTTCGATCTCTTGATTGATTGAGCTTTCTTGATCCTGCAAGGCCTTTACTCTCTCTTTTAACCAAGATATTTTTTTTTGTCTTTCCAATCGTTCAGGTTCCAAAGATTGATCAGTACTAACAGTAAATAATCCAAAACAGAAAATGTTAAATGAAAAACCGAACACTGAAAAAATACAAAGCAATGTGATAAAATTCCTTTAGAAATAATATGGAAAATATAATACTCCCCTTAGCTGAGTTCACTGTATTACAGAAAGAGGGATTCATGAACATAGCAAAGTAACCAACTTACCTTTTCTTTAGTTCTTCAATCCTTTTGCAAAGCTGTTCATCATCTTTCATTAATGCTCTATACTCGTTTAGAGAACGATTATACAAAACCTAACAAAAAATTAGACACAGTTTGGTAAGATAAAAAAAATACATGTCCTATTCAAATCCACTTTTGCCAAATCTTCAAATCGGAGGGGAAATATATGCAAAAATGTATTTTTAAAACAAAGTATATAAATGGTCACATGAAACCATTATTTTTTAAAGTCTGAAAGCAGTACAGATTTCTACCTAATTATAATAGCTCTACTTTTAAAAGTAAATGAACAGTATTTATATTTGATATACAGTATTTAATATTCCAGGTTGGAAAATTTCTCTCACCTCAGCTTCATTATAGACCCTTTTCTTAGCAGTAACATCTGTTTTCAATGCCATACATTCTGGTGCTCGTGCATTTGTCTCTTGACTAATCTTTTCCAGTTTATCTTGAATATCTTTGTATTTTTTTTCTGCTTCATTAAGTCTAACCTAGAAAATAACACTGTTAGAGTGTATTTTACTTTTCTTTAACAAACAGAAAAAAATTTTAAATTATATATAGCAAATAACAAATTCAGTTTCACTCTAAATAATCTCAAGACCTCGGGTAAGCAAACATAATTACATAAAACACTAAAATACAATTTTTAAATCCACATTTAGTTATCCAACAAATGTGCTATCTTCTGGGGATACAAAGATAGAGTAACAATGGTCTGCAGGTAACACAATTAAAGGGAGATAGACACAATTTAACAGAAGAACAGACTGCTTAAATTGATCATAGTTTGGATACCATAATGCTTAAGTTCGTTATGTCTATTTGTAATTGTGGAAGCATACAGAAAGAATCCAGAGGTCTGCCAGAAAAAGTCAAGAATGCCTCCTTCAAAACAAAAGTAGCACTTGAGCTGAGACTTGAAAGATTAATGCAAATGTACCAGGAGAAAAGCTGGGTAAAGGTGTTAGAGGCAGATGGGAAAGCATGCAGAAAGGCACTAATACTACTTTTGGAAATGAAAATATCTGGAGCTTAAACTGAGAGGGTAGTGGTGGAAGCTGAGCTGGAAGCATGGAAGGGCCCAGAATTCCCTAAGATCAGCTTACAATTTAACCCTCCAGACAACAGGGAGACAAGACATGACCGAATCTGTACAAGTCACTTTGGAAGCACAAGCCGGGTGGAGGGAAAATTAAAGCAAACAATTTCAGTGAAGAGTTAACATTCCAGAGCAAAATGAATTAAAACCAAAATGGGGCACTGAGACAATGGGAATGGATTAGAAGAGACAAATATGAGAACTATTCGGATCAGAGATCAGCAAATTTTTTCCAGAAAGAGCCAGATAGTGGAGCTGACACAATTTCTTCACATCCCTTCCACTTAACAGTCATCCTATAATCAATCACCATGCATAATACAGCATGAAAGGTTTTATGTAAGACATGGAAGGATACAAATATAAAATAAGATAGTTCTTACCCTCCAGAAATTTAACATTTACTACAGAGAGTGCCCAAATGCTTAAGTGGGGGCAAAGGCCTGCCAAACTAAAGTATCACCCTGCCTCAAGATCCTCCTTTTCCCACTTGAAAAAAGGTGAACATTATATTACTCAGACTGGATTCCATTTTTATTATTTTTTTCACTTTTCACTTTTTAAAAAAAAAAATTTTATTTTGAAGTAATTTCTACACCCAGTGCGGGGCTCAAACTTACAACCCCAAGATCACGAGTCATATGCTCTACAAACTGAGCTGGCCAGGCACCCCTGGATTCCATTTTTAGATTGGAGATTATCTAAGGAGAAAAATAACTTAAGGTCTTCCACTATGATAAGCTAGGAAATGAGGATGAGGAGAATTTGATGGGGGGAAAAAAAAAATTCCAGCATATTCTCACAGAGATGAAAATCTGAGGTGAGAAAAGGTGGGTGGGGTTGAACTTCCATTTGCTACCTGAAGAGGGAGTAAGAAATTCAGCCTGTTTCTGTTATTTTTACATATTTATTTCTTACTTTTGATGGATTAATAATAACATAACACTTAAAGGGAAGAAAACATATCTGCTTACCTTGAAAAAGCAAGGTGGGGAAGATTACATCCTATACTATAAACTAAGCTTGGTAGAACAAAATACTAAGAGGTAAGCCATCCACACTGAGTAGGTGGGGCTTCTACAAAAATGAAAGGGCTAGGAGTTCTACTTCTGGCATGACAAAATGCAAGGAATTCTGCATTGCGGGCTACATACCCTTGTGAAATACTAAAAGACCACTCAAGTGCAAATTTTAAACTGGTGAATTATATGGTATATGAATTATATTTCAATAAAGCTATTAAACAAAGAACAAAAATGCGAGCATAAAGAGTGGATTGGCTATCTGGTAAAAAGGTCCATGTGGACAGCCCTAACAGAAAATTACTGCTTTTGGGTGCCTGGGTGGCTCAGATGGTTAAGTGTCTGCCTTCGGCTCAGGTCATGATCCCAGGGTCCTGGGATCGAGTCCCGCATTGGGCTCCCTGCTCCTTGGGAGCCTGCTTCTCCCTCTGCTTCTCTCTCTGTCTCTCATGAATAAATAAATAAGAATCTTTAAAAAAAAAAAAAAAAAGAAAATTACTGCTTTTACTTACGATTCAACCAACTTCTACCTCTAGACCCAAGTGGAAGACCCTTGAATCTTACATAAATAGCATAGTTTCCACGTGGCTCTTAGATCTCAGGTTGAAATTAACTTTAACAGACCTAACAACTTGTCCTACATGTGTTCCACCTACACGAAATCCTCTGATGGTTCTGGGCCCTAAAACTTCAGTTCCCTGGAAATTCTGGTAGCAATCTCTGGGCATTCTGCTCAGTTCTGAAGTGTTATACTTCATGATACTTAGCTTTCTAAATGACCATTATTCTAGCACCTCAAGACTTTTTATGTTGACACTCCTAATGAACACAACAGTAAAAGCTTCATGTTGTAGCATCTCTAGTTAATAAGGAAGTACCTACCATTGTCCACATGCATGAGTTTAGAGTGCTACATTACTGGGCTCAACTGGCTGATCATGTCCAAACACAATACTCTTTTTAAAAAAGAGTTGCCGGGGAGCCTGGGTGGGTCAGTTGGTTGGGCATCTGACTCTTGAATTTGACTCAGGTCACAATCTTGGGGTCATGAGATTGAGCCCTACATTGGGCTCAATGGTGACTGCAAAGTCTGCTTGAGATCCTCGCTCCCTCTCCTTCTGCCCCTATCCCTGCTTGTGCTCTACCCCCACACCGCCAGATAAATAAATAAAATCTTAAAAAAAAAATAAAATAAAATAAAAAAGGTTGCCATAATAGTACTTGAACAAAAGTTTATGTCAGTTTCATTTGAGTAATAAATTCAAGCATAGATAAATATATAGGTTGAAACTGCTACTTTGGTAGGTCTTTTAAAATAGTCTAATATCAGTAATCTCATATGCTTTAACCTACTAAATCTGTATTAAAAAAATAATTACCTGCTGTTCTTCCATCTTCCTGTCAAGTCTAGCAGCACGATCTTCCCCAATTTTGATATTATCTCTGATAGCATTCAATTGTTTTTCAATTTCATTGACCTAAAAAGAAATTAGTGTAAATCATGTATAAGAGTAACTGTAACCAATATTTTCTACATATTAAAAGCATAAGTGAATAAGTAATAAAGTAAAAATTACCACTGCCCAAGCCATTTCATGTTTCAAGTATTCTAAATTAGTCTTCATTGTACTTAAACCAGCAATACTTTGAAAACGTTCTTCTTTCTCCAAACACTGGCGTTTTAGCTCAATAAGTCGCTTAAAAAAAAGAAAAAAGGATACGTTTCTTACTAACACTGAAAAGACAAGAGTTTTTACAAATGTATGTCTTTTGAATGTACTTCCTTGACAGGTATTAAAAAAGATATGCAGGGAAATGACTTAAGGTGAAAATAAAAATATCTTTAGTTCTTTGGTATATTTTTACTAGGTGCAGTTATTTTCTTAATTTCTGCATTATAAAAAAGGCCAAATACTCTTCAAATGAAGATCAAAGGAATAAAGGGTTTAAGACCTCACAAGTATAGACAAATCACAAAACTCAGTTTCCCATTTCTCTCAACTCCATATCAGATAGACAGACTGGTATGTTCTTCTGGGCAAACTATACCCAGTACTCATCCCAAAGATAATGGAAGACACGGAAGAAATTTATTTCTAAAAGCCAAATAAGTTTTATTTATTTATTTATTTATTTATTTATTATTTATTTATTTTTATTTTTATTTTTTAAGTAGACTCCACATCCAGTGTGGAGCCCAATGCAGGGCCCAAACTCAGAACCCTGGGACCAAGACCCAGATGAGATTAAGAGTTGGACACCTAACCGACTAGGCCAGGTGCCCCAAGTTATAATTTTTCAATCTAAGTTTTCCTTAATAATAAATAAAATCATCAGGGGCACCTGGCTGGCCCAGTCAGTTAAGCCTCCGACTCTTGATTTTGGCTCAGGTCATGATCTCAGGGTGATGAGACTGAGGCACCCCCTTCCCCCTCACCCCTGCGGGCTCTGCGCTGGGTATGGAGCCTGCTTGAGATTCTCTCTCTCCCCGTTCCTCCCCCACGCGCTTGCACACACACGCATGCGCACTCTCTCTCAAAAAATTAAATTAAAATAATAATAAAAATCATCGAACAAGTATCAAATATAATGACATTAGAACAGCTTCTCAAGGGGCTCCTAGACTTTAGATTCTGTACACCTGGGTAGATGGCCTCTCCCCTTCATTCATGTTTACCATCTTCAACTAGGGCCTCAGACCTGTGGATCTAATGCGTCCCTACCAGTCACTTTCCCAATTCTCCAGGATTATTTCAATCCATTATCACTCTCTGCAAGCCTCATACACCCCCCCCCCACCACCCTAATCCCTCCCTCATTCTCCCTGCCTCCTACCTCAGGGAATTTAGTGGCCATCAAAGGAAACTCTCTCCAACTTCCAACAACCTCATTTACAAATCTAAAGCAGGAGGAGGCGGCTTTGTGACACTGAAGTCCAGCTCCCATCTCCTACCTATGTATTTTAGGTCCGACCACCAGCTTCTGCCTTCTCAGGAGGTCTGAATTAGTTCATTTTTTGTCCCCATCTTCTCACCTTTGTTTCCACTTGGCCCTCTTCACTGACTCCCTTCCATTATCATGTTTAATCTTTACCCACTTGTCTTCCCCATTTACAAGCACAACTGCCACTATCCATGCTTGGGCACCTCCTCCTCCTCTCTCCCTCCAAGTTTTCTGAAGGTAATCTCTCTTCCATTTCCTCGCACTTTCAGCCCCACAAACTGGCTTCTGTTTTCACCGCTACTGAAACTTGTCTTGCCACAGGCCTCTATGCGGATTATGTCACTAAATACAGGGAGAATTTTCAAACCTTGTGGTGCTTGCCACTCAGAACATCACCAAGTTGTGACTACTGCTTTCTCAAATTCTCTTCCCTTGGCCTTTATGGCTTCCATGAGCATTTTTCTTGGCTCAGGCCTGGACCCACTTTCCTTTCCTCCTCAGCAATCTAAGTCATTCCTGCGGCTTACACACCGACAATAGACTAATGAATCTCAAATTTTTACTGAAGCCAGACTTCTGCATTCCTCACTCTTAATTCCAATTGGATGTTTTATAAGCACCTCAAAACCAATGTGTTCAAAATGAAATTCATCATTTTTCTTAAAAGAAAAAAAAGAAAGAAAAGAAAAACTGGCTCCTCTTCCCAAAATTCCTATCTTAAGAAACGATCCGGAGGTCATTTGGTCACCTTCTGTCTCAACTTCACTCCTCCCTGTCCCACTTAACATCTGCTCAAATCATTTCAAAACTCTTCTTTCCACTACTACTGCTACTACTCTAACTTACGTCATCATCATGTCAGTGGACAATGATAACTCTTTATTTATCTCTCTACATTCTTTCCTTACCGCAATTCACCCTCTTCCACAGCAGAGTAATCGATTACAAATACTCATTTAGTCACATCATCCACTTCCATGTGTTCTACTGCTCTTAGGTTTACAAGGTCCTCTACAGTCTGGCCTCTTTTTTTCTCACTCTTGTGCTCTTCACTCTGGCCAACATGGAATTCCTTCAGCTTTCTAGCAGCACCATATGCTCTCTTACCCAAGATGCTGCCATTCTTATCCCTAGGAATGACACCCTTCCTTACTCTCCCCATCCCTTATTTGGCATTGTTCATCATTCAGTTCTCAACCTAGACATCATCCTTAACAACTACATTCCTCCCAGGTCTCTTTCCCCCAGTGCTGATACCTCTTAAGTGCTTTTGCACAAATCTAGTCACAAGTCATTTAGGGGGGCCCACCATACTCAGTTATTTACCATCCGTTTCCTGCTGAACAGTTAGTTCTCTAACCCCAGAACCCAGATATGTATTTGCCGTCATATGGCCATGGACAAAGCACAATGCTAGGAGGCACACGCTGGAACTGGTATTTGTTGACTGGACAGCTTCCAGTTTCTATCTAACCTTCACATACTATTTCCTACAGATTTAAATATTCAAATCCAGAACTTATTTTGAGAATACAGGACATTTAATTAATTAGAAAAAGCTCTTATTATGTGCATATTATACATAAGGAATTCTGCTACATGATACAGGGAAGTGCTTCTTTAACTTCATAATCAAAATACCTTTAATAGTTGATAACAAAGTACATCATGGAGAAAGTGGGTGTTTAACCCCCAGCTGTATGAAGCAAACACATTTCTTCAAAATCCTGATTTATTATTTTTAAAATAATAAACCTAACATATGCTATTATGTTTTTTTGAACATGCAAATATTTCCTTTTCCCGATAACACTGATACACCAAGAAACTGTGCTGTATTAATTCTGTGGTTTACAGTGCCTCCTTGTACACTACCAGTACCTTGAGTTTGAAGGGATAATGTGGGGAATAAAAATAAATATACCCACCCTTGCTGTTTGAGTTTTCATATACCCACAGACCTAACTTTAAATATGCAGTCCTCAAAACCTGAAGTAAAAGGGTCAGTGTAGCATCTAATGAAGCTAACCTGGGTCAATCATTAGTACAATTCTGTGTCAAAAGAACAAGCTAAGAAATTAGCTGGAAGCTCCACTAATTCTATAAAACTGACTAAGTAACTAAAGAACGAGATACAGAATCACACAAAAATTGGTGGGACTTAATGTATGGGATGAAAAGCTGAAACATAAGCCTTATGATTTTGAGGTCTCTGATTATCAGACAGAAGGTTGGATCTTCAGGAATCTGAAGAAGAAAGTACAAGAAGAAAATATAGCAGAGGTAAAACCAAATTTAAGTAAGTCACATTGGCTTAAGTAATTTTAAATTCACACAAATATGCACAGCTACCAAGCTGGTGAGTATGGATGTGACAGTTGCTACCAAGCTATCAGCGCTGAATGAATGTTAACATCTTCCCAGTGCGATGAAAGAGTTATCTACCATATATAATTACAAATGCATATTATGTTTATTATCAGCTTCAGGCTTGTGCTTATTTTCCCATCAAAAGAAACATTATAGTTTTTAAGCTACTTACAGTGGGAATTAGTGATACCTTACTATAGAACCAACTAGTCATATATCAAGGCGTAAGTATGTAAAATACTGCTCTGTCCTCTAGTCTATAGCCTAACAGAGGAAACGTGTACATACCCATATTCCAAAACAAAAAAGGAAAGGCTAATAAATACTGAATATAAAACCACACTTCCCTATATTTCAGAGTGTTATGCAAGTTATTAGTTTTATATAGATACATATCTACATATAGGTATATAATTTTACAGTACCATTTATATGTACTAAAGGAATTTGACTGAACTCAAAAATATTTGCATTACGTGTTTACAAACCTCTTCTCCTTGATTTATCTGCTCCTTTGTTCTTTCTTTTGTTTCCATAATATACGAATAATCTTCTTTCATCTGTTCAAGTTGGGTTGCTTTCATAAAGAACTGTACCAATAAGAAAAACACAATTAGGAGTTTGTAAATTTCCATGGAACTGTGAAAAGAATTAGATCTCCAAAAATTTTTGACTAATTATGTAAAAAGATATTAAAAACACACTCAAGTGAAAGGGGAACCCTCTACACTGTTGGTGGGAATGTAAGCTGGTGCAGCCACTCTGGAAAACAGTATGGAGATTCCTCAAAAAGTTGAAAATAGAGCTACCCTATGACCCAGCTATTGCACTACTGGGTATTTACCCCAAAGATACAAATGTAGTGATCCGAAGGGGCATGAACACCCCAATGTTTATAGCAGCAATGTCCACAATAGCCAAATTATGGAAAGAGCCTAGATGTCCATCAACAGATGAATGGATAAAGAAGATGTGGTATAGGGGAGACTGGGTGGCACAGTCATTAAGCGTCTGCCTTCGGCTCAGGTCATGATCCCAGGATCCTGGGATCAAGCCCCACATCGGGCTCCCTACTCTGCAGGAAGCCTGCTTCTCCCTCTCCCACTCCCCCTGCTTGTGTTGCTGTTCTCACTATCTCTCTCTCTGTGAAATAAATAAATAAATAAATAATCTTAAAAAAAAAAAAGATGTGGTGTATATATATACACAATGGAATATTAAGCGGCCATCAAAAAAAAGAAATCTTGCCATTTGCAACGATGTGGATGGAACTAGAGGATTTTATGCTAAGCGAAATAAGTCAATCAGAGAAAGACAATTATATGATCTCACTGATAAGTGGAATTTGAGAAACAAGGCAGAGGATCATAGGCGAAGGGAGGGACAAATGAAACAAGATGAAACCAGAGAGGGAGACAAACCATAAGAGACTCTTCATCTCAGGAAACAAACTGAGGGTTGCGGAAGGGAAGGGGGTGGGAGGGATGGGGTGGCTGAGTGATGGACAACGGGGAGGGTATGTGCTGTGGTGAGCACTGTGAATTGTGTAAGACTGATGAATCACAGACCTGTAACCCCGAAACAAACAATACATTATATGTTAATAAAAAAAAAACCCAAAACAAACAAATACTCAAGTTTTCACACCCCAAATTTACTTAATCTCTCTGTTCACATCTACACATTCATTTGCAATAGCTCTTAAAAGCCCACGTAAGAAAACACTTTTGGTGTAAGAACAATACCATCTTGAAAACTCATTTTCACTGATTCATTCATTCATTCTTTAAACAATATGAATAAAGAGAAAACATCTGTATCCTTGATCTTGGTGCATCTTGAATTTTTAGAAAAGGAAATACTGAAACCCATTCAAAAGTTACAGCATAAGTAGCAATCAAATATTTTGTTAGCTTTTTAAATTTTAAATAATTTACAGTTTAAACGTTATTATGTATGGCCAATCATTCCCTTGAATTTCCTTAAAGATTAATTTTAGAATAATCCATTCTCTCTCAGAATTAAAAGCCAAAAAGTGAAAGCAAGAATTTACCAAGAAAATTATACTCCATCATATTTAGAACTCTCCTAAACTAGTCCTACAATATTAAACACAGGTGGCTTTAAAAAACCTAACTGAATAGTTATTACGTGAGCAAGAGTTATGTTTGGTATATATGGTTTATCTATAAACGTATTCTTTTTTGATAAATTTGTATTTCCTTTGGTGCTCCTTACTTTGTATTTGTCTCCCTCATTTTTAGACTGCAAGAACTGCTTGCTCATCTCTTGTGTTAGAACAGAAACTGGATTATCCACCTGAAACAAACAAGAGAGGTTACTTTTGAATATTTCATTTTAATGCCTTAAAAATAAATGAACTGAAATACAGAATACAATTCACCTATGGTGTCATCAAGAAGGTTAAGTTTAGAGTATTAAGGTAAATATACCAAGAAAAAATAGTAGACATTTTTAATGGAAAGAAAATGTTTCATCATTTCATGATACTAAAATAAATACCATAGTCAAAATTATTCTGCCACTATATGAGGGCACAAGCACATTTCTTTCACCTGTTTTATAGAATTTCACTCCTATGCTACTGGTTAACAATCTGACAACAGTGAGTAAAGCCCTCAGCTGCCTTGGGTTTTTGTGTCTCACCTCCCTATGTAGCCCTGGGCAAGTTAGTTTCTCCAACTGAATACAAAAGTCCAACTTGGTTATTTCTAATCAGAATTATGATGCCAAGTAGTGTTTATTTTTCTTATAGCAGTTCTTCAGATTTTCCATTTGTTGTTATTTCTTCATGATTATAAAATAAAGAGAAATGCTGGAGTCATTTCTAGAAACCTTTCGAGGAGTCATTTTAAATAAGCCATTGCTTGATTTAAACTACCTATAACTAACAAGTTAAAGTACAATTATGGTAACAGTACTGTAACTGACGAAAGCACAGGGGAACAAATTTAAAATATATATATAACTTGTTTCAGAAAAATTCAAGATTACTCATTTTTTTTTTTTAAAGATTTTATTTATTATTTGTTCGACACACAGAGAGAGCGAGAGAGAGGGAGAGAGCACAAGCAGGGGGAGCGGCAGGCAGAGGGAGAAGCAGGCTTCCTGCATGAGCAGGGAGCCCGATGTGGGGCTCGATCCCAGGACCCTGGGATCATGACCTGAGCTGAAGGCAGCGGTTTAACCAACTGAGCCACCCAGGCGCCCCAAGATCATTACTCATTTATATCTTCGGTATTAGTAGGAAAGTAATTTGTGTATTAGAAAATAATCCCGTTTGCAAGTTATAGAATACGCAGGACCAGTATAAATGAAAAAAAAATAAAATTTTTTTTAAAAAAGATTTTATTTATTTGAGGGAGAGAGAGCATGGTGCGGGGTGAGCCAAAGGGAGAGGGAGAGGCAGACTCCCCGCTGGAGCAGGGAGCCCACGCAGGGCTTGATCCCAGGACCCTGAAATCATGACCCGAACCGAAGGCAGATGCTTAACCGCTGAGCCACCCAGGTGCCCCTAAATGAAAAAAATTTTAAACTCCTTCATTTTACCATCCATAAAATACTAATTATACTTTGTTAGCATAACTATGGTTAAAACCTTCCTTTTTAAGTAAAATTTTGGGTTTTTTTCTTCTCAGAATACAAAAACAATTATGGAGTTATAAAGAAACCTCTACATGTTACTTTATTATCATTATAGAGGTACACCAGACTGACTGCCACATATTTTTATAATATTTGCCCTGCATCTTAATTTCACATTCCATCTGACTTCTTAAAAATAAGACCTAATGCACTAGCTTTAATGACAGACATTTTTACCAACTTTGAATTAGTACCTTCATCCAAATTTATATTATTTTGTCTACATCTTTCTGCTTGTTTCTGAAATGGGGTTCCTAGTTCCTACTCTAGGGATTATGTAAGAATCTTGCAGTTTGAGGTGATAAAAAATTCTGGAGTTGAGGAGCACCTGGGTGGCTCAGTCCATTAAGCATCTGCCTTCGGCTCAGGTGCTGATCCCAGGGTCCTGGGATCGAGCCCCATGTGGCTCCCTGCTCAGAGGGGAGTCTGCTTCTCCCTGTCCCTCTGCCTCTCCCCCCTGCTCGTGCTCTTTCTCGCTCTGTTCTTTCTCTAATAAATAAATAAATAAATAAAAATCTTAAAAAAATAAAATTAATCTTAGTAACATATTTCTAATCTAAAATATTATCATTTTAACATATAACCTATAAAAATTCAATTATCCCTTTGCATTAAGGCTTCAAAATCTAGTGTGTGCCTCACACTATAGTACATGTCAATTTGGACTACCCACATTTCAAGTGCTTAATACCCACACGTGGCCAGTGGTTACTGTACAGGTAAGTGTAGCTCTAGACCTCCCATATTTTGATCAATGAACCTGAACCTTTACTTTACTGCATCATACCAGAAGAGGACTAAAAAGAGTTATGATAACAACCTTCAAATATTTCAAAAGAAATAAATAGGTTTTTACATTCCCCAAGGAAGTGGGAGCTTAGAGAAACAGGCTTTATTCAATTCTTCCATAATAAAAGCTTTCTGAGAGCTGTTCACAGAAGGAATCAAAATCTCAGGCAGAAGTGATTTCCCCACCACAATCCACTTAAGCAGTTGCTGAAGGGACACCTGGTGGAGTCCACACATGGTAAATATGGACAGTGAGAACTCTACTGGATGCCCTTCAAGATGCTCCCAAATACCTGATTCCATACACTTTTGGTTTTCTTGATTCTGCTTAAAAATTCTAGTCTCAAATTTATTTGATGTAACTGCTTTTTCCCAGATTTTAGTAATTATTTTTCTAAACTTCCGTTGCCTGATATATAAGCTACTACCCACATGCAGCTTTTTACACTTAATTAAATAAAATCAAACACTTGATTTCTTAGTCATTCATCTCAGGCGCTCAAGAGCAATATGCTAGTGGCTGACACATTGAACAGCATAATACAGAATATTTCTACCATCACAGAAGGTTTTTCTGGACAACTGTGTTCTAAACCAAACTGGAAAAAAGACCTAGACTCGTAATTGTTCTTTCTCCTTGGTGACTAGTCTTGGTGTTCTTCATCCTGGAATAAGTAAGGCAGGATGGTATATTAGAATGAAACCGGGATGCCTGGTTCCCCATCCAGGCTCTACCAGCAACCACGCCTAGACAATTGTAGGGATAAATTTACTTTTTCTAGTTCTATTCTCATCTACAAAATACAGGTGAATTAGATGACCTCCAAAGACAATTCCAGTACTAATAAGACTATATACTCTATTTCTAATTATTCAAGGTATCTTAGCAGAAAGGACTGGAGGCTTATCTCCTATAGGTATGATCAATAACCCCAAAATACATAAAGAAATGCTTTATTTTTCTAGAATAAATTTCTTTCTACAAAAAATTAGCATCTGAGTTTTGGAAAACTATGATGCTATTCTGACCAGGATAGCAGAAAGCAAAGAAACTTTATAGCCCTTATTTACATTTATTTTATGCCATACCAGTATAAACTAGATGTTCTTGATTTTACAGGTGTTATATTATGCATTGAAAATTCCTGCTGGATTAGTAAATTTTAAGCAACTTTGCTAACAAGAGTTGTACACATTTGTCCTGTGGTCAATTTACTCACACGAGCCTATTTTAATTCTTTCAACACTACAAATGAAATCACATGAGAAAGTGACCAGTTGCATTAATCTGAGACAAAACGTTAGCAATTACCTGTATGTTAAAATGGTCAAGAATTGCAATCAGCTCTTCTTTTCTAGTAGAAACCACAGTGCCTGGTTAAGAGAAACACATAAAATGACCAGACTGTTTCTAGGGCAGAAATACGGAGAAAAAATAAGCAATTTTATTTACAAAAATAAAATTTTGTAAATTTGCTCATGTACAAACACAGATAGTAACTATTTTGTTGCGTCCCTAGGAATAGGCACACATGTGAGGAGCTGCAGGCTGCGGTCATCATGCGCCAGGCGCACGGAAGGAAGGAGCAGCACGGACGCAGGGGCAGGGCTCTTCTTATCCCTGCAGCAAAACGCTTGCTCTTCCTTCTCATGTATGTCTTCGCCTCCTCTTCCTTCATGTCCTTTTCCACCTTTGGCTAACCCCCTTTCCACATGGGATAAAAACTACAGGTGTGGGAGCAGGCCCGCCGGTGAGAACAAGGCAGCACAGCCTGTTTCAAGTGTACCCAGACTCTGGTAATCATGGTCCTGCCGTACGATGTCCTGGGGTAAAACAACTGTGTGTATGTGTCCGTACATAATCACGTGTATGTACATACATGCAGCCGATCCTACACATGACAAGAAAGAGGTTTCAAGAGATAGGCAAGAAATGCCCTTTCAATGAATACCTGAGCAATCACTCTGCTGTTTAACTGACTATTTACTAGCATTTTATGTGAAATGAAAAGACATAACAAACCTGTTTCACTTTTTAGTTTATAAGATCGACTTCCATCCATGCTGATGTGCTGCTGCACGACTATAGAGTTGCCGTACACATTTGCTCTATAGGCATCATCTCCTCTGTTCCTTAATGTTATTGAGATATCTGCTGAGCTAAAGCAAGAAGGTTAAGCTAAGTCACATGAAGGTACAGTGCAATTTCGATACTAGGTTACTGTAATTTTCAAAACCTCTGAAGTAATTTGTCTATTTCATTTGAAAAGTAGCTTTACCCCAGCCACTGATGGCTGACAGGCTACTACAGAATAATGTCAAATATAACACTCCTAACAAAAAAATATAGCTGAGAATAAGTGTTATAAAAACACTGACTATCCTATCTATAAAAGAAATACCACATTCACATAAAAGTCACTTTTTAAAAAGATTTTATTTATTTATTTGAAGGAGATACGCAGGGGGAGGAACAGCGCGAGAGAGAGGAACAAGTTGACTCCCTGATGAGCAGGGAGCCCGACGTGGGGCTAGATTCCACGACCCTGAGATCACATGAGCTGAAGTCAGACACAACTGACTGAGCCACCCAGGCGCTCTAAAACCATTTAAGTTTGGTTGTTTCAAATCATGTAGATAAGTTATACATTTTCCTATGAGCAATGTGTAATACTACACTGCCTGACTACTCTAAATTATGTAACAAAGCATCATGCTGACAGCAGACCTTTAAGAATGATTAAGTAACAATTATGGTGAAATAATAACATTTTCTTTTTTTTTTAAAGATTTTATTTATTATGTGAGAGGGAGAATGAGAGAGAGAGAGCATGAGGGGGGGAAGGTCAGAGGGAGAAGCAGACTCCCTGACGAGCAGGGAGCCCGATGTGGGACTCAATCCCGGGACTCCAGGACCATGACCTGAGCCGAAGGCAGTCGCTCAACCAACTGAGCCACCCAGGCGCCCAATAGTAACATTTTCTAAGAGGATCAGAATCAAAGGAAGCAACTTTAATCTTTCAAATACTTGGCATTAAAAAAATGAAAGTATATGATATCAAGAAACATAAACAAAAGCTCAAAACTTATTGAAGTTTTATTGGTATTACGGAAGAATTATTTTTAAAGTTTTAAAAAAGTTTAAAGCATTTATAGCCATACATATTTTTTTGCATATTTTAATATATTATAGGAAAAAAATCAATCTTTATTTTTCTACTTTAACTTTTATTAAAATAAGACTGAGTAGAAAAACAATGTCAATGAAATACATTACTAAATACAATAAAATTTCCTTAAACATAAAAGCAGACAATTTTTTTTTTCTGGCTCATATGCCAGAATGCTAAAGTCCTTTAATGTGAAACTACTATAAATGGTAATTAAATGAAATCTTTAATAGTACTTGTTTTCATGAATTTGTAATCATATTCCCAAATTGCTCCCATTTATAGGAATTGCAGAAAAACATACTCCAGATAAACTTTACTGTAAGCTGATACTACAGCAGGCACGCTGAAGGGTTTCATCTGTTCCTGCTGCCTCACCCTCTCCTCTGGGAGTGCTCAAGCAGAAAGACAGGGCTTAGCAACCATCAGTCCCCACCCTATCCCGAGGGACTAAGCTAAATATAGAAATCTGACACTAACTGAAACAGATTCTCTTCTTGAAAGATTCAAATTAAGAAGAACTGGTCAAATCCAAATAAGGTCTGTAGTTTCGTCAGTAATACCCATACCAGTGGGAACTGCATAGCTTTGATAAAAGTACCTTCGTTACTTAAGATGTCAACATTAAGGAAAATCAGATGAAGGGTCTAAAGGAAACTGTACTATGTTTGCAACACTTCCATAAATCTAGATTACTTCACAGTGAAAAATTTTATCAACAGACCCCAATGAAACCCCAATGAAGGCACAACCAAGTCAAGAGCTGGTGATTCCTTGAGGCCTCTGAGGACCAGAGAAACCAGTTTGGGACATTACCCCCTGATGAGAGGCTCCGGGGAGTACATAGTGGAGAAGCTCCTGGGAAGCCATCAAGACAGAAAGACAGACACCCACAGACACTGCCAGTGAATGAGAGACAGAGAGAACACAAGAGCACTTCTTTACACACATTGCCCCACAGACTAAGGCGGTAAGAGGTCAATGACTGCACACACGAGGACAGAGTAACAAAGACTTGGCTAAGTTATAAGGAAGAGAACACATACTCCAGAGACGAGAGAGAGAGAGAGAGAGAGAGAGACATTCACAAGCCCACAGACTTGTCATAAGGAGATGGAGGGAAGGGAGCACAACACAGCACAGCCCCTTACGTGAGGGGTGAGGGAGGCCGGTTCAGCAGAAGGGTTGCAGCATGGACCTAAAAGAAGGAGTGGCAGACAGAGGCCTAGAGACACAGACACAGAGAGAAAGGCAGGGACACAAAAAAGAAAGGCCCAGAGACAGACAGAAATTGGTTCTGAGGTCTCTCAGTTCCGGTCACTCATGAAAACCAATTGTACTTCTTCCCTCCAGGTTCTAAGATATATATCTCTGAATCTTTACAATAAATCTCCTTTTCTAAACTACCCTAAGCTGGGGTGTGTGTATTTAAATCAGAAATACACAATTAGGGCAGATATGTTCCTGAAAAATTGTAATCAATAGGATTTTTAAAAGCTTCCGAGTTGATTCTAATGAATAGTCAAGTTTGAAAACCATTAACTAAAGCATTAATAGGGGAAGGGCAGCTGGCCTACTATATAGAGCAAAAAATATTTTATTTCACTAACTACTATGATTACCTAGTATTAAGTGAATGCACCTCATAAAAACATTTAAAAAATAAAGTGACTACAGAGAAACAAAAGCAAAAAGGAACTATTGGGACTTCATCAAGATAAGAAGCTTTTGCACAGCAGAGGAAACAGCCGACAAAACCAAAAGGCAACCTATAAGGGTGCCTGGGTGGCTCAGTCGGTTGAGCATCTGCCTTCGGCTCAGGTCATGATCCCAGGGTCCTGGGACTGAGCTCCGCATCAAGCTCTCTGCTCCATCGGGAGCCTGCTTCTCCCCCTCCCCCTGTCTGCTGCTCTACCTGCTTGTGCTCTCTCTGTCAAATAAATAAATAAAATCTTAAAAAAAAGACCAGATGCCTTTAAAAATAAAAAAATAAAAGGAAACCTACAGAATGGGAGAAGATATTTGCAAATGTCTTATGAGATAAAGGGCTACTATCCAAAATCTACAAAGAACTTATCAAACTCAACACCCAAAAAAACAAAAAATCCAGTCAAGAAATGGGCAGAAGACATGAACAACATTTCTCCAAAGAAGACATACAAATGGCCAACAGCACATGAAAACATGCTCAATACCATATGACATCAGGGAAATACAAATCAAAACCACAATGAGATACCACCTCACACCAGTCAGAATGGCTAAAATTAACAACTCAGGAAACAGATGTTGGCAAGGATGCGGAGAAAGAGGGGACTGTCTTACACTGTTGGTGGGAATGCAAGCTGGTGCAGCCACTCTGGAAAACAGTATGGAGGTTCCTCAAAAAGTGAAAAATAGAGCTACCCTACGACCCAGCAATTGCACTACCAGGTATTTATCCAAAGAATACAAACACAGTGATTTGAAGGGGCACTTATACCCCAATGTTTATAGCAGCAATGTCCATAACAGCCAAAATATGGAAAGAGCCCAGATGTTCATCAATAGATGAATGGATAAAGAAGATGTGGTGTATATATACGTAATGGATTATTACTCAGCCATTAAAAAGAATGAAATCTTGCCACTTGCAATGACGTGGATAGAACTAGAAGGTGTTACGCTAAGTGAAATAAGTCAGTCAGAGAAAGACAAACATCATGATTTCACTCATATGTGGAATTTAAGAAACAAGACAGATGAACATAGGGGAAGGGAAGGAAAAATAAAGTAAGATGGAAACAGAGAGGAAGACAAAGTATAAGAGACTCTTAACAATAGAAACAAATGAAGGGTTGCTGGAGGGGAGGTGAATGGGGGGGATGGGGTAATTGGGTGATGGGACATTAAGGAGGGCACTTGATGGAATGAGCACTGGGTGTTATATGCAACTGATGAATCTCTAAATTCTACCTCTGCAACTAAATGTTAATTAAATTGAATTTAAATAAAAAATCAAAAAAATAAAATGACTACATATATTTCCTCTCTGAATTAAACATCTCTCTTGATTAGCAAACATCTACTTTATTATTTTCATTCCTAGCTACTCCTTGTATTTAATAACTACCTTTAGTATTGTGAGAACTTGGGAGGCACTGGTATCCTGTTGTGATAGGATCTGAATAAAGAAAGGCAAGTTTTTTAAAAAACTAAGGCTTAAGAGAAAGCTCCATAATAACTGCTCAAACACCTGTACAAGGAGACATGGACAACTTTGCTGGGCACTAACTGCTGTCTCCTCACCATCCTGATGGAGCTGATGCTGAATATGGGTCAAGAGCCATGGAGTCCAACATCTATAAACACGGGAGACCCTTAACTGAAGAGACTATAGATGAGAGTTCTTTCAGAATGACAACACAAACAAGCAGTGCCACAGAAAGAATCTGGCTTCTTTCTCAACTCTGGAAAAATCCATCTGCACAGAGGTATCTGGGAACAGATACGGGAACAAGGAACAAGGAAAAAGCCATGTCAAAATACAATGCATCTGCTCTGTTTCAGGTGAGTACCTAGCTCAACTGCAGAAGTTCTGTAGCCTTGACTAAACAAATCAGAAACGTACAGTAGGAGTATTAGTTTTTGTCCCTCCATAACCCACTCCCAATGCCACAGCTGATGTCAAAAATGGTACTGGTGCAAAGATCCCAACACCACCAGGGCTAGTATTAGGAAGGCTGAGGGAGGGAAGAGTGAACTAAACACGTTCAAGAACCTGAATAGCAAGGGGCATGAGACCTTGGATCACTGGGAGAGGTGTCCATGGGAGGAGCTGTATTAGGCCCCTGCACCACTGTAAAGGGTTGGTGGCTGACAGAGGGCTGACCCCCAGGTAAAGTGTCTCAGGGCACAGTTCTCTGGATTCTCTGAACCTCACTGGGCAAGCATTGCTATGGAGAGTTGAAACCCCCAACAAAAGCAGCCGAGAGCCCATGGGCCATCAGTGCGAGTGTAATGTTTGGCGTGGGGGGAAGGACAGAGTCTTGAGGACTCTCTTGAACCTGAGCCTGACCAAGAGACCTTCTTCAGCCAAAGTGGGACAGCCACGATTTTAGAACAGAATCGACTAAAACTAGAACTGAAAAGTTCCATGAGCTCATTCTGTAAAAAAGTGATGACAGAACCAGAGACTATAAAATAAGAAGAAATTCACAGATACTGAATATTTATTTATTTTTAAATGACTTATTTATTTGAGAGAGAGAGAGAGAGCGTGCGCTCGCTCATGAACAGGGTGTGGAAAGGGGCAGGGGGACAGAGAGAGAAGTGGAATCCCCACTGAGCGTGGAGCCCGTCATAGGGCTGGATCCCACAACCCTGAGATCATGACCTGAGCCGAAATCAGGAGTCAGACCCTCAACCGAGCCACCCAGGCGCCCCATGAAATTCACAGATATCAAACTTTTTAAATGAGAAAGGGAATGAGGAATAGTAATGGGTTTGATAAAGCTGTTTTTAAGCTACTTTTTCAGACAAGGTCAGTAAAAAGGAAACTGAGCTCAGGAAAAGCTTTTAACTGTTATTAACTGTTTAAAATATATTAATATTCCTATCTATAGGCAGCTGTATCCTTGAAAGTTGGTGATTTGTGTGAGTTGGCCTTTTTTTTTTCTTTTTTAAAATGATATTTGAGGACAAGTCTCAGAAAGAAGTTTCTGCTTTGGTCTAGATACTTCCCAAATGGCAAAAAAACAAAAAATATTTAATTGAGACATAAAACATACAGTGGTACAGAGAAAAAAAATTTTTTTTCCTGAAGCTCCTATTTGAAAGATCAATGTGTTATCTGGCTAGGTACACCAGGTGGTTGTTTGGACAACTAAGAAATGTATAGTTTGGTATAATGAATTGAAACAGAGCTGGGGCCATTAAAAATGTTGAAATAACTCATTTTTGACTTCAGATATCATTTGGTTGGGGACTACGGAGGGGAGAAGACCTTGCTGGGCTGAGACCCAAATAAGATAGGGAGAGACAGAAAATACACTGGAGAATTGTTACCAAATAGTTCTTTTCCAAGGCCATACAGCATGGAGAAATTATTTTCTGTGTATCTTCACCCCTTCTCCTGAGTCCACTTGGAACCTTGGCTTAGGGTTAAGATTCCTTATAGTTTTCTGAGAGATACACAAGAAAACTGCAATCCTGGTTCACATCCCATCCTCGTTCTATTTTTTAGTAATAAAATTGAAGAAGTCAAATGGATATGACACTGAGCAGAAGGAAAGTCTATTATATGAAATAAGATCACTGTTAATTATCAAAGTTCCAGAGGTTCTGGGCACAGGGCATGCAAAAGAGAAATGAGCAATGGGAGTAGCCTCACTCTGAGAGCTAGTGTAACAGAGTTTGGGACGTCTAGTTTTTAGAAGACACAAGGATCCCTTCAGAGTTACTTGAAACTGTATTAAGAAGAATAAGGAGATCAGCCTGATGAGTACTCCTAATGGGCAAAGGACCTAAGTCTATGATAATGCAAACTAGGCAATTAATATATAAGTTACACAAAGGCAAGTTATATCAAAAAGAAATACAAGTGGGGCGCCTGGGTAGCTCAGTCATTTAAGCATCAGCTCAGGTCATAATCTCAGGGTTGTGGGATCGAGCCCCGCATTGGGCTCCACTCTCAGTGTGGAGTTACTTTATTCCTCTGCTCCCCCACCCTTGTGCTCTCTCTTTGAAATAAATAAATAAATTAATTAATTAATTTAAAAAGTCTTAAAAAAAGAAAGAAATATAAGCATAGAGCCAATGAGAGTAGTTATATGACCATTCTCCAAGAGTCAAGATGGACCACAGACAGATGTGCTGCTGTGGTCCTCAAATCAAACTCACTGGCAAACCACGTGAGTAAAATTAAAGACAGAGAGCAGAACACTTTTTTGGAATTCTTAGGGACCGGAGGCAGAAATTTTGTGTAGGCACCCTTGGCTGGTCACAGACTCTGCTTTCGCCTGTATCATACCAACGTGGACTTGGTGAAGTTTGGGTCAAGAGCCAGGAAAGTCCATTGTTTATAAATATTCCCTTAAGCAGAAATAAATAGATTTATCACTGCTAGTTCTTTCCTCCAAAAAGGTAACAGAAACAAGAGTGTAAGTGGGCAGGCACATGGTAATACTTTACACAAGCTTTCTGTCTGAAGAGAGTAACAGGCAACACTGGCCATGCTGGCAACAGGGAGCAAGAGAAAGGGATGGAAACAGAGGACTATTCTGCTCTAGTTCTGGGAAGCCAATTCATTTCCTATCATATATATATATGAACTGGGAATCTACAGCAGCTGCTTCTTACACTTACTTCTGTCCATCCTTCACAAAACCTTTTAAAGAAGAGCCTCTATTAGTAGCGACGGCTTTTCCTCCAAGGCCAACGATGAGAGCTGTGAGGACGGCGCTCTTCCCACCTAGAGACAGGTGTTGAAGAAATTACATTCATTAAAGAGAGAGAAATGAAAAGGCTGACTCCCACCATTTGATGTAAAAAGATTTCTGAATGAAGATGTAAATTAGTTCTAACCCTGAAATGAAGTGTTACACTTCAATTATCATTTTCTTTCAGCGAACTTAAAAAAGTTGTACCCATCACGAGATATTTAGCTCTGCTATTAGAAAAAAATTAGTACATTTCAGGAATCAAATTTTTGTCACTGATAAGGAAATGGAAAAAAATGGTTGACAGCTTTCCAACCTACAACTCTCATTGTTTCACCTTGGTCCATCAGCCAATATATTAAAAATGAGTCTATCTTTTCTAATTACACATGTATACTTGATTCATCTAATTTTTATTACATTCTAATTTAGACATAATTTACTTTTTCCATAAATTCACAGAAGTCAGAAACTATTTTTAACAACCCTTGAATACAAGCAAGCTCCACTGGGACAGGGATGTTGTTTGTTTTATTCAATGTTCCATCTCCAATAGCGGCCCATAAAAGCACTCTGGTATTTAACAAATGAATGAATGAACTTAAATATGAAAAAATAATCAGTCATAGAGATGAATGTTTCTATGTAATATTTTGACAATTATTATTCCTAATTTGAATATTATTCATTTGCTAGCTTTCTGAAAAGTACACTTCTTTTTATGCTAACAGATATAAAATATCACAATTGAAATTTCAAAATCTAAACAATTACCCAGAATATGTAATCGTTTTCTGAACTCCACAATCAACCAATTCAATCAACTCTTACCAGCCTATCATGTTCCACGATATACCCTAAATTAACCCAAATATACCACTGGTTAACCTGATTTAGTTCCTGGAATGCCTTTTGAGTCTCTAAATCTCTGTTTCTTTATTTCCAAAATTATTGCCTCCACTGTTTACATTATTTCTTCTTCTCTCAGTTTTATTAATAAAATCACTGCTTCAAAATTAAAAACAAAAAAAAAGACAAGACCTAATTGCAGAACCCACCAGTCTTTCCTTATTTCTTGTCCTGCGGGGCCTCCCAGTAGCAACAATCCCTCTGTCCATTCTCTCCTTCTGAAAACATTTTCCTCTTGACTGAACACAGAGCAGGGGAAACAAAGAACGACAACTGAACACTGAACAGAATGTGGAGCTGCACTCACCTACAGTCCTTTCTAAGCACCACCACCAGCTGTAGATTCTGACAAGCCTCCTTTCCGTGTACTGGCTCAACCAAATTGTCAACAGCTCAGGCCAGGCTGGTCCATCACAAAAGCTGCCTAACAGGTCTTTCTAACCCCTGTGTCTCTGCCCTTCTAATCCATTCTCCACACAAGGAGGCCAGTTTGTTTCACAAATCTTGACCGTGTCATCCCTTCCTCATAAACTTTAATTGGTTCTCCACTGACTTTTGAATAAAACACCAAAATCTTTATCATGGCATTCAAGGTTCTCACCAATATCACCTACAACAGCACTCTCAAGTGTCAGTTTCTACCCCTCCCTATCATGTAGGATATGATAAAGCCATCTAAGGTTGTTCACCACTGTCCATGCACATCTTCTTCCCCAGTAAGACCTACAGAATCTGTCACAGTCACTCAAGTACCACCACAAATACCACCTCCTCTTTAAGCTTCATTGGCCACGGTGAGAAGTAGTTTCTTTCATGTTTGGATTCCATGGCACTCTGTTTATGCTCTATTATAACATTTAATAGATGTAAGATGCAAGGCTGCCTCAATCACAATGAGGGTAGCTTGTCCACTCTTCTATGGTATGAATTTCAAAGTAAATGGATTAAAAAAAAAATAAGCAGGAAATGTTTACTCTTACTACATAAATAACGAACCTAGAGTTAACTCATTATTTTCTTACAGTGTAGACTGGCAGCAAATACTGAAAATATTCATGACTACAAGTTATAGATCTAAAACTTACATTTATCAGCATTCACAGACACCTATTTTAAAAAGTTAATGCATTCTAACTGTAAAGTACTGCTCAAAGTCAAATGAGGACAAAAGCACTTACTTCCATTGTTGCCAACAACAAAGTTGACATTAGAACCAAATTTAAAGGGTCCAAGCATCGAATGACACATAAAGTTTCTTAGCTGAATACTCTCAATTATTCCAACTTCTGCTGCGGTCTATTAACAAAAGAAAAAAAGAGAGAGAGAGGGAGAGAGAGGAAGAGAGAAAACAATTAATCTGTCTAATAAACTCACTATAATCACCTAAGCATTTGGAGAAAGTTCAGAAGGGTTACTAATGAAAAAAGTTATAGTAAGCGAATAACCTTAACTTCAATGAGTAAGATGAAATTAAATGGGAACCTTCTATGAGGAATCACTCATTCTAAAGTCCTTAAAGGATCTAATAATTGTATCACATAGTTTCTTAATAGGACAATACTAGCATTTTGAGTCAGATAATTTTTTGTTGGAGGGGGGCTGTTTGGTGCATTTTGAGAATTTTAACAACATCCCTAGCTTCTACCCACTAGATGATAGTAGCACACATCTAACCCCAAGTTGTGATAACCAAAAATATATACAGATATTGTTAAATGTCCCCCTGGGGTGGGGGGGAAGCAAAATCCCCCCTTGAATTGAGAACCACTGGTACAATAAAATTTTTTAATCTTTTTTAACAGTGTCTTTAAAAGCTCCTGGTTTCTTTTCTCCTGGATGCCATCTTATTAAGAAGCAGAAACATTTACATCCTTGTATGAGCAGAATATTGGAAATTATGGTTGAAGACTTTTTAAAGTAAATTTTTATTTTGATCTAATTGTACATGCATTGTAAGAAATAACAGAGGGATACTGTGACTTCTTTACTTGGGTTTCTGCTCACGGTACATCTTAAAAACTGTAGTACAATATCACAACAGGGATACTGACATTGATCCAGTCAAGATACAGAACATTTCCATCACCACAAGGATCCCTCATGTTGCCCTTTTATAGCCAAGCCACATCCCACCCAATCCGCCCCGACTTTAACCCCTGGTCCACTAATCTGTTCTACATTTCTAGAACACTGTCACTTCACAAATGTTATAGAAATGGCTATTGTTGCCTACATCGGGAGTTCACTGCTAAGTAGTATTTCATGGTATGAATGTACCATAGTGTTTAACCTGTTCACTCACTGAATGACATCTGGGTCGTTTCAGTTTTTGGATATCATAAATAAAGCTGCTATAAACATTCATGTATAGGGGCACCTGGGTGGCTCAGTCATTAAGCATCTGCCTTCAGCTCAGGTCATGATCCCAGGGTCCTGGGATCGAACCCGCATCGGGCTCCCTGCTCCGTGGGAAGCCTGCTTCTCCCTCTCCCACTCCCCCTGCTTGTGTTCCCTCTCTCGCTGTGTCTCTACCAAATAAATAAAATCTTAAAAAAAAAAAAATTCATGTATAGGATTTTGTGTGAAGGTACATCTTCATTTCTCTGGGACAAATGCTGGGTTATAGGGTGCATGGTGAATTAAAAAAAAAGAACAGCCGAACTACTTTTCAGAGTGGCTGTATTATTTTACATTCCCACCAGCAATCTATGAATGATCCAGTTTCTCCGCATCCTTGCCAGCATTTGAACTTGTCACTGTTGTCACTGTTTTTAATTTTAGTCATTCCGATGGGTGTGTAGAAATATCTCATTGTGGTCTTAATTTGTACTTCCCCAATAACAAATGATATTGAACACCATGTCATGTCACGTCCCTTACTGTCCTGAAGCCTGCAGGGTTGATGCTACAGTTCTGTTCCTGATAATTTGTGCCTTCTTTCTCTTCTTCCCTTTGATGGCCTTGCTAGAGGTTTGTCAAATTTATTGATTATTCCAAAGAATGAGCTCTTTTGTTTTCTTTACCAACTGTTTCCAATAATTAACATAAATTGCAAAAGTAGTCATATTATTTTACCTTAGGTTTTTTTTAAATCATACTGCCTTTCCTTACATTGAATTATCAAGAATATGACATATAAACCAGACATGAGAACCATGCCAGGCCCCAAATTTTGCACTTACCAAAGTAGAGGTACCATTAGTGAAAGAAACTGTACATTCATCTTCATCACCGTCTTTGTCAAAATCATCCAGCTCTTCTTGCCTCGGTCTTTTGGCATTTTCAGGAGAGAAGAAATTTTCTTCCTTTCTTTTGGCCATCGGGTCTGAACATATATTAGAGTAACAATGCAGTAAATCAAGTATAAGCATCCATATGATGCTTCCATTCATATTAAACTTAACAAAATAAATTAGACAAAGCTTAAATTTTAAGTACTATGTCCATTCGTTTTTACTTTTAAAAAAGTAAAAATATCATCTGTACATAAGCCAAAGAACACCAGTGGCTACTAGAGGCTGGAAAGACAATGAAACAGATTCTCCCCTCGAGTCTCCAGGAAGAAACACAGCCCAACTGCTGTCTTGGTTTTAGCCCCAGGAGTCATGTCAGACTTCTAACCTGCAGAAGTATAAGGTAATAAATGTAATGTTGTTGTCTTTTTAAATCATGTGTACATGCTACACTAGCTGATTTTACTTCAGAGTTATTCATGGCCAAGATTTTATTGATATGGGTCTACCTAAATGTTTTGACTCTTAAACTCACAAAAGGTAAAAGATTTTATTTGTGAAACTGTGGCTTCTAGTTTCCTAGATCTATTAATAGAGATGTCATATGCCTTCTGAAATTATCCCAGAGCAATCATTCAATTTTTCAGATAAAACTATTAGTAGTTTCCCTTAACTATTCCCTAAATAGTCCATGCTGTCTATTTTCTTACAAATTTATGCCTGGAAAACTAATGTATTTAAAATTACACAAGATTTTCTGAACATATGAAAACTGCACCTCAAGTTAAAGCCTCTGTGATTAAAATGAAATGTTATGACTACTGATTGTTGCTTTCATTTTTCTCTATAAAAATACATTTAAGACTTCAAATGATATGTACCTAATAACTATTTGAGTAAATGGAAGAAAAATCCACAATATAGGTAATCAAAAATGTCTAAGATACAAGGAAAGAACAAGAACAGTTCTAGTCTTGACCCATTTAAGTCCTTCAAGTACTATACCGTAGCAACCAGGTCTGTACCAGGTACCTGGGCAGCAAGAGAGTAACTGAGGTTTTGTCTCTCTTGATTTTGGACTGACGGACTCCTGTTAGTCCTCACTAGAGATGACAACCATATGTGATGATATGCACACAGGGCAACAAAGCCAGTCTTAGTGTATGTGTGTCAGAAGGGTGGGAGATTTGTGGAGTGGTGTTCCAAGAGATGTGCAGGAACCCGAATGGGGCCTCTAGAGAAGGAATGTGAGCAAGAAAAGGAGGGTGAGAGAGGAAGACACATCCATACACAGTGTTTAATTTTTTAATCCCACTGCTTTCCAAACTTACATTGACATAACCAATCTTGCAGAAATACCTGTGCATATTTTGGGGAACTATCTTTGTCAGGCTTGGTTATTTTGACAATGCATGCCTCATTAAATGAACTGAGTGGTTTTCCCATCCTTCTAATACTCTGAAATCACTTCTACCGCATGACACATTAAATGTTTTTTCAAAGAGAGAAAGAAGTAGAATTAAAGTTATTAGAAAGTGGAGACTGTTTGAAAGTTAACTTTATGAAATCATTTAAATTTCTTTCTTGTATACCAGTTTTCACAGGTTCACTATATCCTCCTGAATCGATTTTTCTGTAATTTCATTTTGCAAAACACTGATAATGTAAAGCCTCACATTTAAATTCTATTTAATTAAATTTTGAAATATTTTCTCCAAAAATTGGGTATTTACTTTATCAAATCTAGGTTTCTTTAATGGGAATATTTTAATGTTTATTCATATTTTTTATACAACCAAATATAAGGGCTATGAGTGGGTCTAGAGTTCAATCTTTTATTCTCTCTCTCAAAGTGCAAGCTAAAAAAAAGCAATTAGAGGCTTCCACTTCCAGGACTTTTCCCTATTCCTCCTGCTAGGTAAAACTAAAAACTTTGGAAATTATATATATAACAAACATAACACAACTCTGAATGAGAAGGAGGTAGACTGGCCAGGGACCTTAGGACACAAAGAATGACATCATGATGAGTTCCCTGAGTTTTTGTTTTGCTTCAAATACCCCAGACTTGGAGAAGACAGCAACTGAGGAAACACCAACAGATGTAGGGGGAAAAAAGGCCTAATGAAAGCTTGCTCTCTCTAGCCAAAGGACCAGAAAAAGGGATCCTAACAAGAAAGAAAACTCTTAGACAATAATTGTTTTACTTCAGCCAAATACCACAAAAAAAAAACCCGTGATGCTCCCTCTACTCCCCCAACAACACACACACTAGCAAAGGCCAACTAGGTAGCCTGGACTTCCACCTTGTAAGGCCATAAGGAGGCATTTCCACATCCCAATCGGGCTAGTGTCAGAGAAGGCTATGTAGGCTCCCAAATAGGGAGCCATGATAATGTAAGTGGGGCCCACCTAGGAAGCCTAGATGTCCACCCTGATCAGGCAGTAATAGGGTGCTACCTACTCCCATTTTCCATTGGATAGTGTCACACGAGACCTTTTACCACTGCCCAGAGAGGTGAAGAGGCCACCCTGCAAAAGTACATGGAAACCATGTGGAACACCAAAATTCCCACTCATCCCTGGAGTCACTGAGGCTAAGGAAAGAGCTCTGGTAAAGTTCTAGATCTGAATCTTTGCGTCTACAGCCTAACACAACACATAGGGCAGCAGTTCTCAAAGGTTGTGGCTGATCTCTTAAAAAGTACTCAGGACTTCAAAGAGCTTTTTATTTATCCCTATCAATATCTACCATACTGTAAATTAAAACTGAGAAACTTTTAAAACAAAGAACACACATGTACACGTTCTATCAGTCCTCAGAGCAATGGCATCATCACGTCTCATAACCTCTGGAAAACTCCATTTGCTCATAAGTGAATGAGAGTGAAAAAGGCAAATAACATCCGACTGTTATTATGAAAACTGTTTGACTTTGTAGACCCTTTGAAAGAGTCCTGGACCACACATTGCAAACTGCTTAGTACAGGGGATACTATAAGCAAGTGCATGACACAGTGCCATAAATTGTAAGGCATAGCTAGTAAGCAATTAAGTTAGAGCAACAGAGAAGAAGCCAACCATAAAATGACTTATAGACTTGATATTCAAAGTATGGTCCAAGGACCAGCAAGTAGCATCTACATCTCCTGGGAATGTATTAGATATCCAGAATCTCAGGCCCCTTCCTAAACCAAATGAATTAGAAACTTCATTTTTGACAAGATCTCAGGAGATTCACAAGTGCATTAAAGTTTAAGAAGAACTGTTGTAAACAACATTCTAAAACTTGGACTTTATCCTATCCTGAAGGCAATGAAGAACCTAATCATAATAAAACAAATGCCATCTAAAAGGTATTTATTAGATCAAATCTGAAGGACATTTAACCTAAACAAATGCCTGAGACAATACTAAGATTACAGTCACAATTACATAATATTTAACATCTTTCTTTTTCAAATAATTGAATGTTAATTTTGAATCTCTTAAACAAGTTAAAACTTGAAAATCCAACCTATTTCTCAAACTATTTAACAAGAGTCAATGTATATTAGTTTCAGCTTGTTGCTAACTTAAATTCCCTGGAATACCACCATGCCATTATTTTCCCCAAAATACCTTCTTCTCTCCCACCCATTCTCTATTTCCTTCTCAATTACTGAGCAGTAATTTATTTATTGCAGGAAAGCAAAGAGGACACATTACCGTTTGGTTTTCCCCACGCTAAATGCCTTTTTAGATACTGTTTTCATTAATGCCCAATAATGATCTTGCAGTTAGCAGGCACTCAGACATCAGCTGACTGATTTTAGTATTTTACCATGAAAAAAATGGCAGTTTTTCAAGTAAAACTGGGGGAGGGAGGTGCATGTAGATAAATGTGGTTAAGCTTCTTAAAATGAATGTGAGATTCTGTACTACACAGAAGATGGTGTGCTACATGATGACGATGTTTTTTATTTGCTATGCTTGGCCTAGGATTTGCAGTTTTCTATTAGGTTGCCATGGTAACATGCATCTGACAGACACTGAAGGAGCCTACCTTTTAAAATACAAATAACTCTGTAATTTAATGATAATGGATTTTTAAAAACACATATGAATGTCCTGAGAGTTAGATACAAGTTAAAACAGTAAAATTATTTCCAAAAGGCTAAAGAGACATATAAATAGATACAAAGAAAAATACTTCTAATATTCTGAAATACAAAAGGGAAAAAAAATCTCCTCTGGGATTTTCAATACATCCATAAAGCTCTTCATTTGTTTATTTACAATAAAAAAGTCAGAATTAAGGGATACATCTCTCCCTCACAGGAAGCAAATCAGAGCAGGATAGTAACATATACACAACTGTCAATAAAAAGTAAGTTCAAGAAGGAAAATCAATAACCAAGAGTTCATTACAGCAAGTAAGTGAATAGGAAATTTGATAGATCAAATACACTTCAACAGGATTATAAATTCCTAAATATTAAATTTTATTGTGAACCATCTAATAATTCATACTTCCCATTAACATCCAAGTAGGAATTAAGAGCAGTGAGAAAAAAAAAAAAAAAGAGCAGTGAGAACAGGATGTAACAGAACTGAAAACAGGAAATAATGGTCAAAAATAAAGGCAAATTGCTGCTACATCTGAATCTGCTGTGGACTGTTTACCTCATCTCCAATTCTGCCCCTCCCACCACCACCGACATACTCAATTCTGCATTAAACAATCTCACTTTTAATGTAGTGAACTAATTAATAATTAAGCACATTGCTTGGGATTTTTCATAAAATCATAAAATGCAATACATAATAAATAATATAAATAGTTAAGTGAAAAAATTCTTAAGTCCATCTATCAAACAATTCTAGATCAGTGTGAATGGGGGCAAAAGGGACCAGCCACTCAAGGGTGAGGAGGTGCTGAAGAAAAGCAGTGGCAATATCAGGGATGAGAGGAACAGAAGAAACCAAGAGATTTGAAAAGTATGGGTGAGGGGTGCCTGGATGGCTCAGTCATTAAGCATCTATCTGCCTTTGATGCTTTTGACTCAGGTCATGGTCCCAGGGTCCTGGGATCGAGCCCCATATCGAGCCCTGCATTGGAGCCCCATATCGGGCTCTCTGCTCCACGGGAAGCCTGCTTCTCCCTCTCCCATTCCCCCTGCTTGTGTTCCCTCTCTCGCTGTCATTCTCTGTCAAATAAATAAATAAAATCTTTAAAAAAATAAAAAATAAAAGCATGGGTGAAATGGGGGAGTAGAATTAACATTTGTTAAATATCTACTTACTACATGCTTATCTTTTGAGATAAACACTTTATCTCTTTTAATCCTCAACATTCTTATAAGTACTGTCCTTATTTTACAAAGGGGGATATTGAGACTCAAGAGACATTCTGCCCAGACTTGTGTAGCTGTAACTTAGCAGAGCTCAGATCCAAACCCAGGTTTGTCAAAACCCAAAGTCAAACCTCTTCAATGCCCAGGTTCGTCCAGGCATGAACGACTGAGTTTGTTTATAGTCAACAAAATTGGCTATTATTTGTCTTCTTATCTATCTTTTGTTAATGTATAAAGCTACAAAAAGGATTGTACTGTGATGTGTCCTTCTAATGTTACTATCTGAGCCAATTAAAACTTTGGGCTTTAAAAAATTTCATTTTGTGTTTCATTTTTAGAAACAATCTTCACACAATGCTAAATGCCGTAATAAGTAGACAGTGCAGGTTTGGAAAGAAAAGGGGTAAATAATACATTTGTTTGGAAACACTGAGTTTGAAGTGTTCCTAGGATATTGAGAAGGAGAGGTCAATAGGCAGTAAAATATACTCTGCAGTAGGGGTGGATTTGGGAGTGATGCTAAGAAAGCTACAGAAATTATTCTGAATTTGGTCACCAGGGAAAGTAAGTGAGAAAAGATGTTTCTCAACTAGTGAATCAAAATGCTAACATTAATAGAAGTGACTATACTTGACCCTCAGGCACCTGGACTTACTAATGTGTGTGTATTGATAGAACTGTGACATGTAATTATGCCTTAAATATAATGCATATCATTATGGTAAAATTTTGAGTTTCTTGTTTATTGATCCCTGAAAGTAAGTCAAATACAGCTTTGATTAATTTTTCTAACTTTGTTCTAAAAATTTAGGTAAGTCAAGATTTAGGTAGGTTTTATATAAAATTCTACATCTAGACACTCAGTAAAATAAACCTTTGGGGAATAAAAACTGATTCTCACTTTAACAACTTTAGTATACCCTTTTGTGCTTACCTTTGTTGCCAAGCTCAATACTAAATGCTTTACATTTATTATAGATAGAGATAGGGCTACAAATCTCCTCCCACCACACACAAACACACACACACACACACACACACTTAGAATCCAATTACAGAATAAGAACTAAAACTTAAGAGGTGATACCAAAAAGCTCTGGGTCACACAACACTCGTTCTCTTACAAAAAAAAACATGCTTTATAAGCAATCTTCTAGTGATCTCCAAATTTTCTGTACTCATAGCCATTCAGAAAAAGAAATTTTGAATACATATTTCAACATAAAATTATCACTCTGTATTTCGCACAGTACTAGAATAAAGTAAATCTAAGAAGTTCTAATATGTTCCCTTCCACCCACACACCCAAGTAACTACCACCCTAATACCTGCAGGCCAATGCATATGTTACTGAATTTTTTTTTTTTTTTGCTACTGAATATTTTAAAAGACTATACAGCAGTCATCTAAAAGGGAGTTTGGACTTTTTTTTTCTCTGAATATACATTCCAGAATAGCTTGTCTTAAAACACTCGCTTTTAATCTCCTACTCATGAAATATACACAGAGTAAAAGCGCTCGCTTAAGTTCTGCCTTCAGGGTTTACATACAAAATAGTTGCTCTTTCCAGGAATTATCACATTATCTGAAGTCTTATTGGTCCCACAGCCGTTTCTCTATCCTAGAGTCTTGTGTTCCGCAATTCCCAATCGGGATTCCTCTTCGGTTCATTTCCACAAAAGAAGAGGGAATAGAAATGCCATCATAAAACCTCCAAACATTACAATTTAATTTTTCTAGATAATACAATCTGCGTTGTCATGACGCTGGGGTTTAACAACAAATCGAAGTGCTATTTGCATACATCTCGTAAACAGACTAAGTTGTTGCCGGTGAGGTCTCAGATTCGCGCTAAGAGCCGGATGTCCGAGCCCACCCATCCCCTCAAGCTACTCCCCCTCAGCCGAGGGCCGGTAGGGGCCGGGCGCCGGGTCCCACAGCCCGAGCCGGATTTGTCAGCCCCGCCGGCGGAGCCCGAGGAGGGGCCCAGCGGCGACTGGCAAGTTTCCCGCGGTTCAGGAGACCTGTGTCGCCCGCAGAGACAGCCCGAAGATTCCCGCCGGCGGGCTGGCCCACTCGGGCCCGCGGGGACACCCTGGACACCGCCGCAGCTCCGGTGACCGAGCCACCACCAGGTAGGCTGGAGGGCGCCGGCTAAGGGGGCAGCGACAGGGGATGGATCCGGAGCAAGGGAGAGCGACAGCGCGCGCCCTCACCTTACCTCGAACAAGTCCAAGTCTCCCCAAGGAACCCGATCGGCGCGGCTGTCGCGGTGCTGCGGGGCGCTAAGGACACCCTGGGGCGTCTCGGCCTCGGCTGCCCGCCGTTGGCCCACGGGGAACCGCGCGCCCGCGGTGGGAGAAGGCAAGAGGCTGGCTGCCCCGGAGCCGACCGCCGCACACTCCGCGCCTGCGCCCCGCCCCCCCTCCCGCCGGGGCTCAGCCCGCGCGTGCGCAATTCGGAGTTTTCGCGCCCATAGAGTCTAAGAGGAGGGGCCGGAAGTGCCCCTCAGCCGGCGGGGAAGCTGGTAGGCACGCAGGGCTCGGCGTCGGCGGGACGTGCGGGGCCGGGTGATTTGCCTAAGTGAAAGGGAAGAGAATTCGGAGTACCCCGGCAACAGTTCCAAGCATGCGTAGAGCCGACCGTCTAGAAGCCGGGAAAGTATAGCGAGTGACTGCGGTCGCGGAAAGGGGACGGTTACTTCCCGGAAGAGGCGGGGCCATGTGGGAGAGGGCGCCGAATTAGAAGTGCGTCCCGCAATTTCCCGGGTCGGGTGCTGCAACCCAAATGTTAGTCTTTGCTTAGGGAAAAAGGAAAGAGGACTTTTCCATTTCGTTCCTTCAAATTTTTTTTGTTTTCTTAGAAAATTTGTAAACTTGGAGGCAGCAATAGTTAGCATTCAGACCAAACGTAAATGACGGAGGGGCGTCTTCCAAAACCGAGGAGAAACGGTTGTCCGGGTAAGTCCCGCGGACCGTGGAGAGGCGGCCCCGCCCGGTTCTTCCTCTGGCTCCTCTGAAAGGCTGGGTTGGGGCGCTCCTCCGAACCTCGGTCAGCGGCTCGGCTGGGAGTACGGTGGGAGATCCGCGTGGCCACGATCCGGCCCTGCTTGCTTGGTCTCCGGCCTCCCCGCCCTCGCCCCTCTCCGCCAAGGCCAATGGCCCCTGGATGTCTTCCTCCCCGGCACAGTGTAGGGCGAACGCCCACGCCCGGTTCCAGGCCCAAGTGGGCGTAGTCACACTGAGGTGTTCCTTTTTTCAGTGTTGTGCTCTGAAAAATACTTCCACGATATCAGTTACCTAAAGGCATTGTGGTTATTTACAGTCTTGCCCCCGCCCTGGCCTATACTGTAAACCCCCTCAATAAATACCGGAACTAACGAAGTTTTAAGTTTCATGGCGTAGCTTACAGTGCTGTTCTCACCTCTTCTGCCTTTACACAACTCAAGTGATTATGTTGATCTAGTCAAATATTCTACTTCCTATATTCCGCAGCCTTCCCTTGGAAGATGGGAAAAAGTGGCATTTACCGCTACCCCACTTCACCCCCAAATAGATGACAAATTTCTGGGCTCCAGTAATGGAATTCCTTCCATCGAAGTCACCTTTTGCTTCTAAAGATAATCAAATGTATATTCTTCTCGTTGGGGCCCTTGCCATGGCACAGTGAGAAGTAGGACCTGGTCAAAATAGACTGAAACGCTATACTATCTGATCTAAGGGTCCTTGTTGGTAAACAATGGGGAACAGTTGGGTGGTTTCTGCTCAGATGTCACTTCCTTTAGGAAGCCTTTTTTGATGCCCAGTATTAGGTAAGGTACTTACTCAGTGTACTCCTATAGCTCACTCATGTTACGCCTGTCCATGTCACATTGTTGTAATTCTGTTTTCATCTCTAGTCTCATTTGCCCTACTAAAGTGCTTAAGTGCAGGGCTTTTCCCTCATTGTATCTAGCATCTGGAATTCCTGGTACATAGTAGACATTTAGTAAATACTTTAAGTTAAGTCTGGGGTATGTTATGCTTCAAAGTTTACGCTAAATTCATATGAAAATGAAACTGAAAAAATCGGGGCGCCTGGGTGGCTCAGATGGTTAAGTATCTGCCTTTGGCTCAGGTCATGATCTCAGGATCCTGGGATCGAGTCCCACATCGGGCTCCTTGCTTAGCAAGGAGCCTGCTTCTCCCTCTGCCTGCCACTCCCCCTGCTTGTACTCTCCCTCTCTCTCTCTCTCTCTGGCAAATAAATAAATAAAATCTTAAAAAAAAAAAAAAACTGAAGAAATCATAAAAAAAACAGCATTAATTAGTGAAATTATATGGAAATCCCATACAATCCAATCTTGTACTGAAATAAACCATTTACCTATCTTTATATGAAAACATACTCTTGTAAGTGGGAATTGGGAAATTGAAAATATTTCTCACTTTGTTGTTAAGGAGGTTTTTTCCTAATGTTTTGGCTTAAAACGGAAATAAAATTGGAAAACTGTTGGTTTAATAAAATGTGTATTTTTGCGTAAATCAAACCACTGACCTCTTTTTATGTTCTTTAAAATTTGATTCATTACTAGAATTAGCAAGGTTCTGTGCTTTTCTCACCTCATTCAGTTTTATAATTAACCAATAAAAGCTTATTAGCTTTTAAGGAAGTTTTAGGAGCATAAATTGATTTATGGGCACCATATGGTTACATCAAAGGATTTGTTTTGTTTTAACCTGAAGTGGATTCTTGAGCCCTTTCTTTAAACTAGAAATTCATGTCCTTTCTGTCAAGTAATAGTATCTATAATAGAGTGATTGTCTTTATTTTAGTACAAGCTACCAAAACTGGTCATGAGGTTCAAAGGCTATCAGAATCTTATAGTTCATCTGGTTTAGTGCCTCTCATTTTGTAGATGGGTTAAGTATCTTCCGGAGGTCATACAGTTTCAGTATTATATCAAAGACCAAAATCCTAGGTTTCCAATCCCAAGTCTAGTGCTTTTTCAGTAAACTAAATAAATTGAAGACACTAATAGGTTATGAAGTTATTTACTGTGGGTTGTTCTGACTTTGTTGATTCATTTAAGTATTCTAGTGTCACATTAATTCTTAAGAATTGTTAATATGTTAAGGAGACTTCCTTTTATATGTAATATACATTGATGCATGATCAGATTGATGTCAGTAAAATTTACTACGTTATAAAAGATAGGAGTAGAGACTCACCAAATCCCACACCACAAATTTTTCAAATTGTACCTTATTAAAAAATAAGCAAGAAAAAATTATACATAGTTGTGAGTGAGTTTGATATATGTTGTATTTAAATTTTACTTAATGCTGAGCTATTTTCAAGTAACCTCATCAGGTTGATCATGACCTCATTCAAAAACCATCTGTTCTATCTTTGAGTGTAGTTATACTTGAGTATCTTAAAAGCTGTTGCATTCTGTCCCTTTTTGCAACTTTATATGCTTTTACAATCTTACTGTTCCAATCTTACTGTTCCAGAGGAAACACTGGAACAAAGAAAGTGGCAAGGAAGGGACAGCAATAGATCATGAGAATAGACACTTAGAATTAACTGTGTTCTTAAAACATGTTGTGTTATTTTCATAAACATTTCACATAATTTTTCCCTTTCTGGACTATTGGGGTATTCTTTATATATTCTGCTTTTAGGAGTGATTTTTCAAAAGGAACATGCCTTTTAAACTTAACCAACTCGATTTAGATCATAGATCTAGTGAAGATAATCCTAAAATAGTATTTTAAAATAATGTATTACGTGTAAAACACTTAGGTAATTTTACATAATTTCTTTTTGCATTTTATAACTGGCTATAAGCACCATAAGTGAAGAAGTAAATTAATGTGACAAACAGAAGGAGTAAATTAACATGTGACAATCAGATGATGATTTTAATATGTTTTAGGTTTTTAAACAGGATCACTGGCTTCTACAAGGAGAATGATTGTGTAGGAGAGGAGGGGAGTAAAAAGTAGAAGCAGGGTGGCCAGTTGGGAGACTGTTACAGTTGTATACAGGCAATGCCAGGGGACTATCATTAGAAATGGGGATTTCGGATATATTTTGAAAGATTTGTTGATGGAGCAGGTGTTGGGGAGCTAAGTACAGAGAAGAATCAAGAAGGACTGCTAGGTTTTTGGCCTAAGCAACTGGAAGTAAGACAGTTTTGAGGACAGGTGGTGGAATCAAGAGTTAAATGCATATTATGCATCCACATGAAGGCAAAGTAGGCAATTCAATATTCTAGTTAACAGCCCAGGGGAGATGTCAGATGAAGTGGGATAAATAATATTAGGGAGACTGGAGAAGAGTTCATTATAGAGTCTTCAAAGGAGACTCAGCAATAATGTCCTTTCCAGTGTAGTCTGCCTCTGCCTCTAAAAATATTCTTTTACAATTCTTTCTGCTCACTTTCCAGTTCCCATGCCCACTCCCAACCCTTTTAATACATTGCTTGGCATAGTTCTAATTCGTTATTTTTTTAGTTAAAAGTAGTGAAGGCTTTATAAAACTTTGTAATTCAAGGTCTAACAGAAGTTCATTAATGTAAAGTTAGAGAAAAAAGATTCATTGGCGCATGTCATGGAAGCTAGCTCCTATTAAAATGTCCCCTTGATTCCTATCATTCAGAGAAAAAAGTGAGAAAAAAAAGTATATTTCACAGTAGCAGCAATTCTACCATGCTAATGAAAAAACTGAGCCAAGCATTACTATTTTATAGGTGTGTGCTTGGGGAGCACAAAGAGACACTCTTCTTTTTCAGATCCATTTCAATAGCTACACAGGGACTGTAGGGTAAGGTATCAAAGTCGGTTTGAAAAGCTTTGAGATAGATTTTAAAATATGGTGACCAAAAAGGCAACGAAAGAGACAGTTTTCTGGAAAATATCACATAACTCAGGAAAAGTGGAGAAGAAAACACTTCAGCTCAGAGATAGTAACTCAAATTTTGCTTTCTGGGAACCAACAGATAGTTCTGTCATTCTTTTTCTTTTTGCCTACATCATTCATAACAGTTTTTTTTTTTTTAAGATTTTATTTATTTGACAGAGAAATAGAGAGCACAAGTAGGCAGAGAGGCAGGCAGAGGGAGAGGAAGAAACAGGCTCTCTGCTGAGCAGGGAGCCCGATGCGGGGCTCGATTCCAGGACCCTGGGATCATGACCCGAGCCAAAGGCAGACGCTTAACCGACTGAGCCACCCAGGCGCCCCAACAGTTGTGTTTAAGTAGCTGTGATTCCAACTTTGTAGTCTTCTCTCACGTTTTAATAAAGGAATAGCCAAAATAGGTGTCCTAGGTAGACATTACTGATAACTGTTCAACTACCAGTGCTGGTGGTTCTGTAACATAACTGGATGCTTGTTCTTTAAACCAGGTATATTCTGACAAAAGAA